TTGCTAGTTATATTAACATTAGCGAAGTTAGGATTTAAAATATACATTCACATTCATATATGTACATACATATATGTAAATGCTTAAAGGATTTTTTCATAATTTTATGAATAGTTTTCTCTAAATTAATAAAAATAAATTTTATTGGAATTTATTTATTAAATTAATAAAAATATATAATGTTGTAGATTGTGTGCTGATCATATCACAATATTTTCTAAAATAAGTTAAACACTATTGCAAAAGGTAATAGGTAGTGTATATACTTAATTAACAATATAATTAACTTGACAATCCAATTTAGTACTATAATTATTTTAGAATGTAACATTGTGTGAATAAATTTGTAGAACCAGTTTTAATATATTATAAGGCAGTTTTCTAATTCTCGAATAGTAATATGTAATAATAAAGTGTAAATCAATGACACTTAACAATATAAGTATGTGGTATATTAATAATTTTTCAAATTTGTTTTATATAATTAAATGTAATAAACAAATTATTGTATGTTTACAGTATTTTATGACAATTTGATATAAGTATGTACATACATATAAGTCATTCTTTTATGCATTTATATAAGTACATATATATATATATACAAAACCATATGATTTTATATGTGTATAAAATATAAAAATGCATATAAATTCATATTTACGTGTATCTACATATTTTGTTTTTCAGTAATTTTCTTTATGGAGAAATTATCTTTCCTTATTCCTAAACAGTTACAACAGTTACGTAAAATTAGCCCTTAATAAATATTCTTTCGTTTCAGAATGGAGTATTTAATACTGTCTATAAACGAAAAATATTAGAGCTAGATATTTCTAATTGGATTATTAAAATAATTCATTAAAAAATATTAAATTTTCATTTGTATAAAGAGCAATAGGTCAATTTGTTTAAAAAACCGCTCAAGTTTTCTTATACATATATACATATGTATATGTATGTACATATTTCACGTATGTATGTATGTATGTAATTCAAAAAAATTTGAGCCCACAGTTTTCTTGATTATTAAATAAAATCAATTTAGTCATTTATTATTATGTTTTCCTTTGAGGTCGTGAGGTATTCCTACTATCGTAAAAGGGTTAATGTCATTATATTATAGAGCTTGCCTTGATTTTCAACAAATTCTCATTTTAAAATTTCAAAAAGTTCCAATTTGAAAATCAATTTTATTTGTAAGACATATTCATACTAATTTCCTTTTGCAACATCTACAATTTTTCGCTTTTCATAAATTGTTTGCCGTAATAGGCAAACTATCAATAGAATAATTTTTCACAAACCACAATTTATATTCACATACAATATGTAAATATACATATGTACATAAATATGCACATTCATACATGTGTAAGTTACTTTTCCTATTTTACTTCAGTTAAAAAATTCTACATTTTGAGTTTTTCTTCGTTAATACTTACATACATATTTTGTTAGTTACTTTTTTTTTTAAATTCTGAAAAAAATTTCTAATTTACATACACATCCAAATGTACTTATATAACACGTTTTTATTAAATGTGACGTAATTTTGTATCGCCTGACTTTTCAACTGATATTTTTTTTTCTGTTATTACTATGAATATTAAATACTTCTCACACATTTATTTATAAGATTTATATTATACTTCCATACTTGAATATACCTGTATGTAAATACATGTATATATGCACATAAAATTAAAGTGACCAGTTTTTTTGTTTTCTAATCACAAATTTTATGATTTCAAAATAAAGCTTGAATACTAAATTTTTGTTTATTGGTTCATTACTGTATGTTTTATAGATGTAAATCTTATTAGCGTCTTAGATTTGAGTTCAATTTATTGCTCAAGATACCCATCAGCTTGCTATGCGCAGTTTGTAAAGGGATCGATCTTTTATTTGGTATATCAGTAAAACATAACTTGATTTTTTTGGTATAACCATTTTTTTTATATAGAACCTTTGTTTTTCATATTCAAATGTAAATTTAATGCTACAACAACTCTAAAAACACACGATCCATCTGTTGTAAATTAAAAATAATATTTCGACCTATCGAAAAAACATAACGTAACTGTAAAGATAATCTATGCATTTGTTCAATGTACTCATAAATAATTTGATCATGTAAATAGAATGAAAATATTATTTGCTAATATTTATGTACTAAGTACATTTGAATTTACATATTTTTAATATAGAGTCATAAACAAAATGATACAAACAAAACAAAACTGTTTTTTTTTTACACGTTTGGCCACTGTATCATTTTATACAATTATATGTATGTATGTATGTATGTAAAATAATGTAATGTTTATATGATAAGATATTTTATTGAATACTAATGGTGTATGTATTGTATTCCTATTATAAGTATTAAATTTACAATAATGACTAATTTATACAGAAAAAAATTGTTTAAACCGTTCGTAAGTACTAAATAAAAAATTTTCTGATTCAACTTCAAACGTTTTCTTTTTAATTTGTTTTCTGTTTTTTTTTTCTGATAGCAGCAAAAATTTGCGAATAATAGAGGTATGACTATAATACATATTAAAAATTTCTCAAATTTGCCGTTATTAATTTTTTTTTAATGATAACACCCAATTTTTCCATATAAAATTACACTATACAATGGCAACTATCTTTGATAGTTCATTTCTTAATAATAATATCAAAAGTTAATGATAGTTTCACAAAAACTTAAATGAACAATGATGACAGGTTCCTATGTTCCATGTTTTTGATTGCAATTTCTAGGAATCTTTTATTAGGGGTGCCAAATTATACACTTTCATTCATTTGCTATACATATTATGTACTATATTTTATATACATGTACGTATGTATATATGTATATATGTGTATGTTTCCATATGTATATGAAAAGTTTTGCCGGTAAATAAAAAATTATTTATTTTGAGTTTGTGTGCGATACAAAAAAATTTAAGATCATACGATCGTAAAAAAAGCGTTGTTTAAAATACAAAAGTATTTTAATATATATATATATATGCATGTATATATATATATGCATGTATATATTAAGTTTTACTATAACGTTGGTTTTTTACTTTAACAAAAAAATATGTAGGGTAACACAAAAACTTTCTTATAAGAATTTGAGAAAAATATAATATATTTTTTTCATATAATATATATACGAAACATATGAGGGAACGTATATATACATATGTATGTATGTGTGTAAAATTTAAAATATGATTAATATACTTACCGCAAAACAGACCATGTCAATCACTCAATGTAATTTTTTTAAGAGTTCAAAACTTGGGGAAACCACTTTTTTATGATTTGTTTTTGTTTTAGTTTGCATAAAATTTTTATGTTTATACTTTTTGCCATAAGGTATATACATACATATAATGTATACAAAAAAATAATTATATATGTAGTTATAAGAAGTTAGTTTTATATTTCTATAATATTGAACTTGAAAATCACGCCACAACTGTTTATTGTTTATTTTGTTATTTTGTATTGTATTACACACGTCCATACTTTTGTATATGAATGAATGGTTGATTACTCGTGTTCGTTATTCATAATATCGCTATACTTATTAATATATTTTAGCAAATTAGGAAAAAAGAAGAATAAGTGCATGTATATACATACATATACTCGTATAAGTATGTACATGTATGGATGTACATTAATTTACCTACATAATCTTTTAACAAAATTTGTGGTAAAATATAATTTTATATAAAAGCACGGTATAAATTGTATGCATGAGATACTTATGTACATACATACATACATATATATGTAAAAGAAAATAACAGAAAAAAAAACGCTTCTTTTAGCTAGAAAAAATTTGAACAGGCCATTGAAAAAGATGTTTTCGTAATAGTGAAATGTTTTGTAAAATGTATATACACACATGTACATATATGTACATATGTATATATGTATGTACATATCAGGTGATTTTTGTTTTCAAAATAAAAATATTGTTTAAAGGTAATCAAATACATTCTCATTTTTTATGTATGTAGGTATACATACATATGTATTCTTGTAAGTATGAATAAACATACATACATATCTGTACATATCATGCGAAAACTATTTTTTTATTTTAAAAATTTCTAATCGGCCGTTGCACAGTTTTTAAGATGAAAATTAATTACCCATCAGAAATTAATCACCTTTCCCTTTTTCTTTTATGTGTGCCAAAAACTTAAGGTACAAATTGAAGGTAATTTTAATGCTTAAATAGCCATTAAATTATTGTATGGATTATATTATTGTAAGGAAATTATTGTAAGGAAATAGAAAGAATTTTTTCGTTAATTAAAAAAATTCTCTTATATTATTCTAATTTTTTTTCTACTTTAATCTTTAGACTAATACTTATGCCTCCCTAATACCAAAAATTTTATATGAAAATGTAATGCAAATAATAACTGTAAAAGTTTCTTTTAAAATTTACAAAAGATATTTGTGTCCATATACAATAATTTTATATAAATTTTTATATACAAATACAAGTTAAGTAATCATGTACATATTTACATTATGTACAAAAAATCATGCATGTACGAGTACCAAAAATTACATAACATACATATACTAATATGGTCTTACGTTATTCATTAGCATTTCTATGTTGTATTAAGGCATTGACAAAAATGCAATTGTTATTATTTTATTGATGAATAAAACACACAATACATTTCCTTATTAATTCCAAGATAAAATTCTATAAAGCTTATTTATACTCTACTTTTTCTTTGCAAATTTCAATGTAAAAATTAAGTAGATTTTGATTTTATATTCAAAGTATCTTACTTGTTAATTTCATAGGAATTATTTATATAAATTACATTGCAAACGATTTATGTTCGGCTCTTGAATTTCGATTAGTATAAGAAAAAAAAAGTTATTAATTTTTATCACATTAAATTAAAATAAACTATGTAAATTTACATATCATTAATGTTTTCGTTTTTCCTTTTCAGATTTGATAAAACAGAGTCAAAGACTTTAAGTTCAAAAAGAAAGGAAAACTTTTAAAATACTAAACACGATACACTTAAACGGAATCGATATTAATCAACAAAACATTTCAACTCCAACTCAGTCATCATCGATAACAAATTCTGGAGGAAAACGTTCAAACAAAAGGAAAAAACGTCGAAACAAAATCAAACAACAGCAGCAAGAACAATTGCAGCAAGAACAATTATCGGGAATCAGCAAAAATTCTCAAATAACAGTCAATATGCCAGCCCGCTTTGCAGAAGAAGTAACAACTGACAGTAGAGTTAATGTGTCCCCTTCCGCCATGGACCTCGGAAGTGGACACTATAACAATAACAATATTGGAACGACGACAAATGGAACACATAATTTTAGACGTTTTTCTCCAATAACTGATGAGGTTTGTATTACAGGAGTATCCGGACGTTTTCCAGAAAGTTCAAATATTGCAGAATTTCGTAAAAATTTATTTGATGGCGTTGATATGGTTAATGATGAACCTCGTCGTTGGGATAAAGGCATCTATGATCTGCCAGAACGGATGGGTAAAATAAAAGATGAAGATTTAGCTAATTTTGATGAACAATTTTTTGGTGTACATCATAAACAAGCTGATTATATGGATCCGCAAGTACGAATGTTGTTAGAAGTATGTTATGAAGCAATTTTTGATTCTGGTGTAAATCCGCAAGAATTACGAGGAACACGTACTGGTGTTTATATTGGAGCTAGTAATTCCGAAACAGAACAATATTTTTGTGCTAATCCTGATCGTGTTAATGGATATGGTTTAGTTGGTTGTTGTAGGGCTATGTTTGGTAATCGTGTATCGTTTTGTTTTGATTTAAAAGGGCCAAGTTTTGCAATTGATACTGCTTGTTCCAGTTCCATTCTTGCATTGGACCGTGCATTTGCGGATATAAAAAGTGGTGTTACTGACGCTGCTCTTGTCGCTGGTTGTAATGTAAACTTTAAACCCATGAACTCCTTACAATTCAAAAGGCTAAACATGTTGAGCTCACATGGAACTTGTAAAGCTTTTGATGTTGACGGCAGCGGATATGTTCGTTCGGAAGCTGTTGGGGCAATTTTCTTACAAAAATCAAAAGATGCTCGTCGAATTTATTCTACAATACTAAACGTTCGAACAAATACAGATGGTTATAAAGAAGAAGGTATAACATATCCTGACGGAAAAATGCAAAATCAATTAATACGAGAAACTTGTGAGGAAATCGGTTTGAACCCACAGGATGTTTCATATATTGAAGCCCACGGAACAGGAACAAAAGTTGGTGATCCGCAAGAAGTAAACTCAATTGCAGATTTCTTTTGCAAGGATCGTACAACTCCTTTATTAATTGGTTCAGTAAAATCGAACATGGGTCATTCTGAGCCAGCTTCCGGTATTTGTTCTATTGCAAAAATTTTAATCGCCATGGAAGCGGGTGTTATTCCAGCAAATTTGCATTATAAAACACCAAATCCAAATTTATATGGTATAATGGAGGGAAAGTTAAAAGTTGTGGACAAAAATATGCCATGGAATGGTGGAATTGTTGCGATGAACTCTTTCGGTTTTGGAGGAGCTAATGGTCATGTTATTTTAAAATCAAATCCAAAACCAAAAATGGTATCTCCAAAAGAAGGACCAGCAAAACTAGTCATTTGTTCTGGTAGAACCTCTGATGCTGTTCAGAAACTTCTTGACGAAGCTAATGAAAATAAATACGATGAAGAATATATTGGCATGCTTAATGAAATTCATAAAATAAACATTCCACAACATAAAGTTCGTGGTTATGCTGTTTTAAATGACAAAGGAACAGGTATGCGTGAAGTTTTGGATGGAGTTTCTGACAAACGCCCAGTTTGGTTTGTTTATACTGGAATGGGTAGTCAATGGGCACACATGGCTAATGATTTAATGAAATTTGATGTTTTTCGTGAAAGTATATATCGTTTAGCGGAAGTTTTGCGTCCAATGAACGTTGAATTAATTGATATTTTAACTAAGCACGATGATAAAGCGTTCGATATTGTTTTAAATTCATTTGTTTCAATCGCTGCTATGCAGATTGCTTTAACTGATTTGTTAACGAGTCTTAATATTTGTCCAGATGGTATTATTGGGCATTCAGTTGGTGAATTAGGTTGTGCTTATGCTGACGGTTGTTTTACACCTGAGCAAACAATTTTGGCGGCTTATTGGAGAGGAAAAAGTATTGAAGATACAAAACTAATCAAAGGGGGAATGGCAGCTGTAGGTATGACTTGGGAAGATTTAAAGAAAACTTTACCTCCAAGTGTCATACCAGTTTGCCACAATAGCGTAGATAGTGTAACAATCTCTGGTCCAGAAGAAGACACTTTAAAGGTTGTTGAAAAATTGAATGCTGATGGGATTTTTGCAAAATCAGTCAAGTCATCAGGCTACGCTTTCCATAGTCAATATATTGCCGACGCTGGACCAAAATTACGCAAAAGTTTAGATAAGATTATTCCAACTCCTAAAAATAGATCATCCAGATGGATAAGTACAAGTATACCTGAAAGTGCATGGAATACCCCTATTGCTAAGCAAAGTTCAGCTGCGTATCATGTAAACAATTTATTATCTCCTGTTTTGTTCTATGAAGGTCTTCAACACATTCCAGAAAATGCAATATGCATTGAAATCGCCCCACACGGCCTGTTGCAAGCCATTCTTAAGCGTGCTCTAGGACCAAATGTTTCAAATATAAGTTTAGTAAAACGTGGACACGAAAATAATCACGAGTTTTTATTAAGCAGTATTGGCAAGTAAATACTTGTAATTTTGAATTAAAAATGGAAGTAGTTATTCAATTACTTTCTATCTACACTAGGTTTTATGCCGTCGGTGGACAACCACAAGTGACGAAACTTTTCCGTGCTGTGAATTTTCCTGTTGGCAGAGGTACGCCCATGTTGAATTCGGCAGTTGTTTGGGATCATAGTCAAAAATGGTTTGTCGCCAGTTTTAGAAGTGAAAGTAAGTTCTTTGTTTTGTTTATTTGAAAAATATTTAAAGCATGTATTCAATACATATTAAAATTATTATCCTTTTCGAAATTAATTACAGAAAGTGGTGGGGAAACGGCTGTTGAAATTAATTTGGAAAATGAAGACTATTCGTTCATTTCCGGACATACAATTGACGGCCGGATTTTATTTCCTGCAACTGGTTATATGACTTTAGCTTGGAACACATATTCTAAATTAAGAGGAAGTGAATTAGTTCGTACCCCCGTAGTATTTGAGAATTTGGTTTTCCATCGAGCAACAATCATTAACAAAAGTCAACCAATCAAATTTGGAATTAACTTCTTGGATGGTACTGGAAATTTTGAAATTTGCGAAAGTGGTAGTTTAACAGTTTCAGGAAAAATAACAGTACCGGAAAATATTGAGGTAGAAGAACTTCCTTTGGCTCCATTAGAGGCTGATAAATCATTTATGTCCCTTTCAACTAATGATGTCTATAAAGAACTTAGACTACGAGGTTATGACTATGGCGGACTATTTCAAGGAGTTGCAAAGTCAGATTTAAATGCAAGAGTTGGTGAATTGAAGTGGGATCATAATTGGATAAGTTTTATGGATACGATGCTTCAATTTGCTATAATTGGTAAAGATTTAAGAGAACTCTATTTACCAACACGTATAGAAAAAGCTGTTCTTAATCCAATGAAACATTTAAAAGTGATCGAAGAATCACTTTCTGAAAATAAAACTTTACCAGTGTATATGTATAAAGATATCAATGTAATTAAGAGTGGAGGCATAGAAATGCGGGGCTTAAAAGCCACAATGGCTCCCCGACGTTCAGGTACACAAAATGCACCAACTTTGGAAAAATACATTTTTGTACCACAACAGAATGTAGCTGAACTAAATGAAAATTCTGAAAAAGCACGTCATCTAGCAGTTAGCACTGCCGTCAGAATGGTAATGGAAAATTCAGAGAATGCTCTCAAAATTAAGGTCGTTGAATTAGAACATGGCCGTGTAGTTGAAAATCTTTTATCACAAACAGTTCTTGCAACCATTGAGGGGGAACCATTACTGGCAGCTGATGTCGCTGTTGCTACAATTAATCAAGTTGAACAATACACAAACATGCTAGGTGATAGTGGAATACGAGTTATCAACAAAAATATTGCTGAATCTCCAGTTGAACAAAATTGTCATTTGATTTTAGGAGCTGATATTCTTTCGAGAGCAGATAATAAAGTTGTTATTGAAAACATGATTGCAAGTGTTAAAATTAATGGGTTCTTATTATTTGAAGAAAATTCTGCAACATATCAGAAGGTCGGAAAAGAATTTTTGGGAAAATTCCGTTTAACAGTTATACAAGAGCAAAAATGTGGACAAAAAATATTTATACTAACACGACCAATTTGCGATATTGAAAGTCGCAAAAAATCTGTAATCTATTTAACTGAAAATAATTTTAAATGGTTAGATAACTTGAAAACTGCTCTAGCATCTGCTGAAGCCGAAAGCAAATATTTATACTTAGTAAGTCAAGGAGAAGAATTATTTGGAGCCCAAGGTCTAATGAATTGTATTAAAAATGAAGCTGGTGGCAAATACGCTAGATTGTATTTCATCCAAGACAACAAAGTGGAAAACTTTAGCTTTGATTCTGTTTTTTATCGAAATCAACTCGAAAAAGATTTAGTTTCCAATGTTTTCAAAAATGGAGCTTGGGGAACATTTAAACATATTAAAATTGAGTCTCAGTCTGAACTTCCAACATTACAAGTTGAGCACGCTTATGTTAATGCCCTAGTTAAAGGTGATTTATCAAGTTTAAAGTGGATTGAAGGTCCGTTAGCGCGTCAACAAACAAACTCGAAATCAAGTAACGATTTGGAAATGTGTACTGTTTATTATGCACCAATTAATTTTCGTGATGTCATGTTAAGTTCTGGTAAATTATCTGCGGATGCTTTACCTGGTGATTTGGCACAACAGGATTGTGTTTTGGGATTGGAATTTGCAGGGCGTGACAAATCTGGAAACCGAATCATGGCCATGGTACCGGCCAAATCTCTTGCCACAACTTGTTTGGCAAGCAAGCGTATGATGTGGAAAGTTCCCGAAAACTGGAGTATGGAAGAAGCATCTACCGTCCCTTGTGTATATTCTACTGTCTATTATGCCTTAGTTGTCAGAGGTCAAATGAAACGCGGTGAAAAAATTCTTATTCATGCAGGCTCTGGCGGTGTGGGTCAAGCTGCGATTTCTGTTGCTTTACATCACGGACTAAGTGTGTTTACAACTGTTGGTAGCAAAGAAAAGCGTGACTTTTTGTTAAAACGCTTTCCAAAACTAAATGAAAGGTATATTGGCAATTCACGTGATTCATCCTTTGAACAAATGGTAATGCGAGAAACGCAAGGTCGAGGAGTTGATTTAGTGCTGAATTCATTGTCAGAAGAAAAGTTACAAGCATCTGTTAGATGTTTAGGTTTGAATGGCAGATTTTTAGAAATAGGGAAATTTGACTTGAGCAATAATAATCCTTTGGGTATGTCAGTATTCCTTAAAAATACATCATTTCATGGTATTTTACTGGACTCTGTTATGGAAGGAGAAGAGGAAATGCAAAATCAAGTTGTTAATTTAGTTGCAGATGGCATTAAAAATGGTGCTGTCCAACCACTACCAACTTCAGTATTTAACGAACATCAAATAGAACAAGCATTTAGATATATGGCTTCGGGAAAACATATTGGAAAAGTTGTTATAAAAGTGAGAGATGATGAGCAAGAAAAAGTTATAAAACCAGCTTTAAAATTAGTAAATGCTCTTCCAAGAACTTATATGCATCCAGAAAAAAGTTATATTGTTGTTGGTGGTCTTGGTGGTTTTGGCTTGGAATTAACTAACTGGTTAATTGCTCGAGGAGCTAGAAATGTGGTATTAACAAGTAGAAGTGGCGTGAAAACTGGATATCAAACATTAATGATTCAACGTTGGCGTGGAAAAGGAGTTAAAGTTTTAATTGACACAAATGATGCCACGACGAAAGATGGATGTCAGAAGCTATTAGAAAATTCCAATCGTTTGGGACTGATTGGCGGAATTTTCAATTTGGCTGCAGTGCTTCGAGATGATATTATTGAAAATTTGACGGAAAAAGATTTTGCTGCTGTTTGTATGCCAAAAGTCAATGGAACGAAATACTTAGATATTTTATCAAGAACGATGTGCCCAGAATTAGATTATTTCATATGTTTTTCAAGTGTTTCATGTGGTCGTGGAAATATTGGTCAAACAAATTATGGTCTGGCTAATTCCGCTATGGAGAGAATTTGTGAAAATCGTCAAGCATCTGGTTTTCCTGGTATGGCAATTCAATGGGGAGCCATTGGAGATACTGGTTTGGTTATTGAAAATCTTGGTGATAATGAAACAGTAATCGGTGGAACACTACCACAACGTATGAGTTCCTGTCTTCAAACAATGGATATATTTTTGCAACAACCGCATGCTGTATTAGCATCAATGGTCGTAGCTGAAAAAAGAAAATCCGATTCATCCAGTGGTGTGAGCTTATTTGCATGTGTAGCAAATATATTAGGATTGCGGGATGTAAAAAATCTTCAAGACACAGTAACATTAAGTGATTTGGGAATGGATTCTTTAATGGGAGCTGAAATCAAACAAACATTGGAAAGAAATTTTGACATTATAATGTCGCCACAAGAAATCCGTTCTTTGACAGTCGCACAACTTAAGACATTAGATGCTGGAGGAGCACAAGAATCAGTTCCAGATACAGTTTCAAATAAAACTACAACGACATCTGCAAATACACTAACTTTTGACAAAAATCAAGTAGTATTTTGCGCTGATTTGATACCAAAAGAACCAATAGTCTGCTTAAATGACTCAACCAAATCAAATAAAAATCCAATATTTATGATACATGCTATAGAAGGATTTGCTGATCCATTTAAAAAATTGGCAAAACGTTTAAATGTGAAGGTTTATGGTTTACAATGCACTGAAGATGCACCATTAACTTCCATTGTTGACTTAGCTAAATATCACTTGAAACAAATTAAAAAAGTGCAACCGAAAGGACCATATTCAATTGTTGGCTATTCTTATGGTGCTTTATTATCCTCTGAAATAGTTAGTCAGTTAGAAAATGAAGGAGAAACAGTTAAGTTAGTTTTATTAGATGGATCTCCAAAATATGTAACTATTTTCACAAGAACGCAATTAAGCGTAAAAGCAGGACAAGAAGATCCTTCTCCAGATATGAAACATTCTTTAGGGTTAGCATACTTTGGTTTTGTTTTGGGAAATCTTGATTATGGTGAAGTAAGTTTTAGTAGCCTTATTTTTCAACAAATTCATGATGAAGTAATTTTTGTATTTTCTAAAAATCTATATATTTTTTTAAACAGGTTATTAAAGTTCTCCTAAAAGAACCAACTTGGGACCATAAAATAAAAAAAGTTGTTGACTTGATATCAGCAAATATTGATAAATCACCTGAATTAGTAAGTATTATTTGGATTGATATTGCTATAGTAGTAATATATTAAAATTACTTCGCGCTCGTTATAACGTAACTCTTTTTTTCAGATTACAAAAACTGCAATTTCTTTTTACAAAAAACTTGAAATAGCTGTAGCATATTCCTCAGATATTCATCTCAAATGTAATGTAACCTTAATCAAACCAACAGATATTTCTGTCAATTTAGGCGAAGACTACGACTTATCAGAGGTATGTAACATTTTATATTTTGATTTATTTCGCTTTAAAAAATTAAATTATTAACCATCTCAAATTATTTTCAATTTTTTATATTTAATAAATTTTAGATTTGTTCTGGTTCTGTCAAAGTTGTTCAAGTTGAAGGCAACCACCGAACATTCTTAGAAATCGAAGAATCAGTTAAATCTATTCAATCATTGATTGAGGAAAATTTAGTTTAATTTGAACACAATGCTTGTATTTTTATATCTATACATTGTTGTAAATCAACTCTACTTATTAAAATATTAATAACATAGTTATTTTTTTAAATATTTGTATGTAATAAAATATCATCCGATTTTTGAACATATTATTGTTCTAATAGCAAAAGCTATTGTGTAAAAAAGGTCAATAATAATCTTTTAGAACTCATATATGTACAAAATTTACATGACAAGTTTTTGAGCTCCATTTTTTTTAGAAACATTATAAGATTAATCCTTTTTGATTTAATTAATTAATGAAAAAAAAAAATAAATAGAAAAATCATCCTAAAAAAGAATTAAATGGTAAAAAATTACCAAAAAAAATTGTGTAAAATATAAAAAAATTTTGATATAAGAAAATTAATTTTGTAAGTATACATTATATACATATTACCCACAAAAAACTAAATTTATTTACACATATAATATATTATATTTACATATATGTTATATATTCTATATTGTATAAACGTACGTATACACACGTACTATTGTAGTTAATTAAAAAAATTAGTAGAATGTAGTATTTTGCACCATCTAGTAACTATAATTTATTTTTTGTATGCACCTTAAAACTAAGGGAATCGCCTTTACAATTTGAAGCAAGTATTCAAAATGGTAACTAAACTAGAGAAATAAAATGAATATAACTGAATTAAAAAAGAAATGGCAATCAAATATTGTTATTTAAAAGGTGAAAAAATATTTCCGTTTACACAAAATTAGCATTATTGTTCGCATTGTGCGATAATATTATTGCAATGTTTTATTTTTGGCTTGTTATTTAAATTTATGTCGCAATGAAATATAGAAACTTTCAAATGTTAACTTTGTAACTATAAAATTTTTAGGTCCATATATAATTAAGTATAATTACATCTTTAACATTTGCAACTTTCTAATCGTTTTCCTTAATCAAAAAATTTAAAATATTTCAATAAACATTCCATTCAATAGATATAAGCAAAATTATTTATAAACTTGCATAAATTATAAATGTTCATAAAAAGAAGAAAATATGTTAGTTAAAAAGAACTGCTTTCATTATTTTTAATTTATCATTTGCTCAATATTATAGTAAAACTAAGAAAAGGGGCTTTTATAATTATAATTTTAATAAAAAAAATAATACATATATGAAATTTAATGTGAAATATATCTACCATTTAGTTTTTGTTTTAAAAAGCGTTAAAATGTTTACTTTCTTAATATTCTAATGTGAAATATAAAAATGTATAATTTGTCACTAATATATTATAAAATATATTTAATTTTTTCATAATTAAAATATAATTCATGCATAAACTTTATATCCAAATATAAAATTAAATTATACTTAGTTCTTGAATTTTTTTTTTAAATTTAATTTATATACCTACTTATTATTGCAAAAAAAAAATTTTTTTAATATAATGCATTTTGTTATTTTTTTTAATAACTTTGGGTAGCAATGCGAAATTGTTGTATTTAAAAATAAAGTTGTAATAAAAAAAAATATTTAAATTCCTTTTTCATTTTAAAACAAGGCTTATTGAGTACACATATTTTAACATTTACCAAGTTTTTGTACATACCACGCAAGTATATATATTCCCAATTCCATTCGAAAGTTTCACGAATTACGGCAAATATGTCATAGGCAGCATTACCATATTGATTTTACAGAAAATATGGAAAATTTCGTTAAAAAATCTGATAAATCTGGCAACATAAAAAATTTATTTTTCTCGCATTTGCAGAAATGGAACGCTTTCATTGTTTGGTGTTACGCTACCTCTCCATTTCTGCAAATGCGAAAATCGAATTACATAGTAAAAGTCACTGATGTTTTGTTTACAGAAATTTATCAAGCAGAGAAAATATTTACTTTGTTTGAAATTTTTAACAAAGCATGGTTATAATAAAAGTAATAAAATAAATTAATAATACACTAAACACAATGGGGCCGCACTTCAAAATTGCAAAAATGTTAGCTTTAATGCTTTGTAAAATGCAATATGGCTGATGCAAAAACATACAATATCATACAATAAAAAACTGCAAAAATAGAAAAAAAACTAATTTTAAAGTTGTAGTTTCATTGTGTGCGATTCCATTCAATAACCCGAAAGCTATATTTTTTTCTAGTTGTCAAATTTTGCAGTTCGAAGGGTTATCTCATTGTGTTTAGGAGATTAAGTGTTGCTCCATTGTGCTCAGGGAATTGAACAGACCTATTATTTTGATAGCGTGAAATTTATTCAAAAATTTCACTCAAAACTATTATTACTCATTTTTTAATTGTTGAGTGGTAATTGATTTATTGAGTAAAAATCACGCTTTCAAAACAATGGAAATTTGTTGGAAATTTTTTTAATAAAGCAAGCAAAAGCATTACTTTACTTGTTGCTTTCTAAAAATCACAATTCAAATTCAAATTTCGCGTTATGTCCTTCAAAGATTTCAACTTCAAAATAATTTCGAAAATAAAGATTTTCAAATTTTATGACAAAATATGTAAAAAATTGCAATTTATACCTAGAACAATTTTATAAATTTTTGACGCTGAGTCGATAGAAAAAAGAACTCAATTTCTCTATAATTTTTTTAGAAAATTTTGTAGGACATAAATTTTTATTGTTTATGAGTTTGTTTATCTAACCTAAGTCGGCTGATCAGTGATCGCAGTAATAGCAACAACAATTTTGACATCAGAATTTTAACAGTAGATGACGTTTTGTTGTTTTAATAAAATAATCGTAGATCTAGATAGTAAAAGTAATTAGAAGAATTACAGAAAATTCTTCAAAAAATTTCAGAAAATTCTTTAAAAAATTTCAAAGACATTTTTAAACTTTATCGAGGGCGCATTTAACATCCTTTTTAAAAATTAAATTTACAACATTCACTTGAATTAATCGTGAAGACTGCACGATTAGCACAGTTTTGCCGAGATTTAAATCCATGGACAAGTTAAGATCTGTTTTAAGTGGGCGGGAGAGCACACCGGAAGAAGTATCTAATATTATCAATTTCATTAAAAAAATTTAAAACAAAACAATCATTTCAGGAGAGTAATATTATTACTCAAATAAATAATGCATCAACTTTAAGCTGGTCAACACGTATTAAAGGATTTTGTATACTTTTTGTGCTTGGAATATTTCTTTCATTTTTGGGTATGATCATAATTGAATGATAATAAAATGTGAAAATTTTTGTCAACTTATTACAATGAACACAAATTTGTGAAAAATAATGTTTGCTCTAATATCTGAAAAATTTTTAGGCTCTTTATCTTTATTTTTAAAATCGGGATTCGTTACTTTTGGTGTAAGACCTCAGTGATACCTATTTATATTCATTTATAATTTCCAATATTTTTCTCATTGAAGGTATTTTATACTTTGGGGAACATTACGAGCTTATTGAGCACTTGTTTTCTGATGGGGCCCGTTAAACAATTTAAAAAAATGCTCGCCCCAACTAGATTAATAGCTACAATTGTGGTTTTTGTTATGATTGTGCTAACATTGATTGCTGCGATAGTCATTCAAAAAAATGGATTAGTGTTGTTATTTATTATCATTCAGTTTTTGGCAATGACATGGTAAATTAAGTAAAAATAAGTTTTTAATAAGTCTTATATAAATTTTCAATAAAAATTTTAGGTATTCTTTATCATACATACCTTACGCACGTGATGCTGTAATTAAAACTTTTGAAACTTGCATTGCATAAAAATGAAGCATTTCAAAAATAAATTAATAAAGTTGCCTTAATATCATTCATATTTTTATTAATAGAGAACAAAAACAAATTCAATCTTGAATTTAAGGAAAAACAATTGCTCTGCTGATATTTTAATAATTATACTTACATATAAGCTATTGACTATTAAGTGAAAAATATTTATCATTTTAAGATTATTTCAAAAATTTATCGTTAAAGAACATATCCATTTTTATAATAAAATTGTATTATTGTTAACAGAATAAGTAAAATACAAATTTTGAGATATTTTTTTTTTGAAAATATTTGTACATAATTATATTATAAAAGATATTTAAATATATGTATAAATTGAAAATATAAAAGTCCGATTTTAAATTCTACATTATGAATGTGTTATATCACCGCAATAAAACATAAATGTACTTATCTGATAAGTAATTACAAATTATAATTTAATCTATAATTAAATTTCTTTGTTACCTTTTTTTGTCATGATTAAAGGTGAATTATCCGCTTTGTTGGCATATCAAGCTAATATTCTAAAAGCTAATATTCTAAAAAAACAAGAAAATGTTAAACATGTACATACATATGTACATATATTTTAATATTTTGTTTTTTTAATAATAAAATATTATTTTTAAATAAAACAAAATATTTCTACTTGACAATTAAAACTTTATTTGAATAATTATAAAGTAAATTTCACTCTATTTAAAGTGTTAATCTTAGAATAAAATTAAATGGTTCTTCTAATCATTTTAAATACTAATATTTAGATACCTTATTGATATCATAAAAAAACCAATAAATTTCATACGCTTAACCTTATCTACTTGTCAATTAATAAGTTTTGAAAAAATACAATATTATTAAATAATACGAAAAATATAAATGTTGAATTATTTAATTGTTAAAACTTTTGAATCACCAAAAGAAATTTATTATTCTAATTGAGATACTGAAGAAAATAATTTTTTTTTTTACAATTTTCATAATACGAAACATTACTGTTATTATGTTTAGAATATTTTACAATTAACATTTAATATTTCATTGCAATATTTATGATTTATTTTTCTCTATCAAATAAATTTTAGCATAAAGACAAGTAAAATATATAATTATTCTATAACTAAATCCGTTTTAATACCTTTTAACATAATCATAATTAAATTTTCTAATAAATACATAATATAAATTTATCTGGGATTACCGAAAAGAGATTAAGTCCAGAATTATTTATTATTTTTTCTAATTTTCATTGGAAAAATTTAAAATTGCTATATGTATTCATTTCACTGATCTGGACCTATTGTCAATTAAAATACATAATATTATTTTATGTCGAGCTTAATATTATATTTATTTTATTAAATTTAATATATATAGATTTTCTTTTTCCTCATTATAAGTTTTTAAAATATAATTTAAATTTGTAGAAGTGATACATATGTATTATCTAAAATTTATAAATATAATTAAGTAATTTTTTTAGTAAAAGATGCAGTTGACAAATTAGTTCTCACAAGTAGTTAAAATTCTACCCCAATCTGTTAAGTGCATCTTTTTAAATTGTTGATGTTTGCAAATATATTTTGATATATATTTTGATTTTTCTTTTGTAAGAGTTTATAAATTAAAATGAATTGTTTAGTGTGAAAATACACACATTCGTATATGTGATGTGCAAGTAACTTCCATCAAATTCACCTTTTTTATTTTTAAGTTTGATTCTGTTCTGAATTGTCTGGACGATTAGTCCAGACTATACTGCGTTGAATTATGTTAATAAAGCAAATTTTATTTTGTGTTGTGTTTAAGGCATTAAAAATTATAAATTAAGGCATTAAAAATTACAAATAATGTAATTGACTTTCTACAAGAAATTTCAAATGTTATTAAAAATTATTTTATTTACATTACATGAAAGGAATAATTTTAAGACAAACCGTATGGTATTTGCAAACACCAACAAGGGCTAATTTTCTGTTGCACAATTTCTATTGATATTAAAAAAAAACATTATTTTTAACTACAATTCTTTCCGAATATCATTGGAAAATTTTTTTAATGCCATTTACAAAATCGATTTTCATAAATAGCATTGAAATATTAAAATTATAAAAGCTTTTGCATATTATGGAACAAAAGACTCCTAGAAGACAATAACGTGTAATTAATTCTTAAAAATAAACATATTTGTGTTACATTTTTATGTCATTTAATATTGTTTTGAAATGTACATATGAATTACTCTTAAACTAAAAAAGAAATTTAAAGTTATCAATGATATTCTTCGATTTGAAACCTAATAATTAAATAAATTTATATTAATTAATACCTTAAATAACGAAAATAATTTATATAAAACTAAAAATGCAACAGAATTTCACCAGCATCGCGTATATTTTAAGGTGCAAATTCTCACATCGCAGCTCTCACCTGCCTTTACACCTGAAAATGTACTCCAAAAGTGTATCTCACATATATATGTTCGAATTTATGTAATAATATTATATAGAATTTATTTTTTTTGTAAAAATTATTTGATACTTTTATGTTTTGAGTAATTATTTTTTAAATTTTAAATGTGTAATTATTTTCTGATTCACCCAAAAACACGTTTTAACAATACCCAATTGAGTACGTTTATTAAATTTGCATTAAATTAATTATATTAAGTGAAAAATAAAAAATTAGAAGAACAAGAGATATGAACGATTTTTTTTCGTTTCCTCAATGTTTTTTCCTTTGATTAGTACGAATCTTCTTCCTTTGAGAAATCTGACGAGATGTTCGAATCGTATAGTGCACTGAAAATTTATTTTATATTATTAATTTTTACTTTTGTTTTTTTAAATGTTAAATAATTTAAAATATCTCAAAATTATTTTAAAAAGTTATATAAATTTTTGGGTAAATATATGGATGAATAATAAAAACAATAGGAGCTAAATATAAGTATATAAATATGTATTATGTAGATATAATAATAGCATATACACCATGTTATTCAAAAACAAAAATTGAAAAAATGTCATTAAACTTTTTTTCTTTGTTTATTTTTATTTAAAGTAAAATAATATAATATATAGACATTCCATATTATGTACCACATATTATATTATTACATGTGTGATTTGTTAAAATTTATAAATAAATTTACATAGGATGTGTAGCAAAATTATTTTTAAATTTAAGTTGTTTTTTTAAATTTCACTAATTCGTAAATATTTTTTAAGCAGTATTAAAATTTATATATGGTATATTAGAAAACTTATTTGAAATCAAATGATCATTTAGTTCTGATGAATTATTTGCATACATACATACATATTTATATACTAATTTTTACCTATAAAAGGGAGTTCCTCAATTACTTACTTAATTGCACGACATGTGAAGAATACGATTCTCTTCAATTTTTTATTATAAAAGAAATAATTGAATGACCATAAGCATCCTGGTTCACCATATGGATCAGAGCTTAGATCAGCATTGTAACTATAAATGTCACATTCATTTAAATTTATCTCATCATCCACAGCTGACCACAAGGCTTGTCTCAGACCCTGATATTGTTCACCAGCTAGGGCCGATAAATTTGAGTGAACGTTATTCATAACCCATGTTAGAGAAGGCTCCTTGCTAAATTCATGCGACTAGAACGGAAAATTAAGCAAAAATTAAATATTAATAAAATAAAAGTTGTATTTATTTTTTTTTTGTAGGAAAAGGCATACATCGCAAAATAACCTTCAAATTTCACATTAGCAATTGTGAAGGACATTGGGCAAAAAAAAAACATAATAATAACATACATATATAATGTACATAAACTAAAATTCATATAACTTTCTAATATATTTATATATATAAATAAGTAAATGTATATAAAAGTGTGTATGCAAAAATATGTATTTGTTGGTTGTTTACTAATAATACGAGTATTATGTCTTCGTTAAATTTTTGTTTTTAAGAACGCTAAAAATAGTACAGAATATTTTTGAATAGGAAGGTACATAAAACATAAAAGATATAAAATTTTAAAACGTAATTTATAATGCATCTTTAAAAAAAAATTAAAGACATAATTTTACAACAAATTAAGAATTTAAACCCACCTTTGCATCAGAAAAATCATAATCTGGTTCAAAAGCTGCATTCAGTGTAGCGATTAAGTAAAATAATGTTTTACGCGATATGGTGTCGCACAAAATGACGCCTTCATCAGATTGACTGCCTCGGTTACTGCCAAATGATGGTGACAAATCCATTACAGTTTGTGGTGGAGATAAGGCTTGTAAGTCATGAGGACCATAGCCGTGAGTTTCTGAAGTAAAACGCTTATATAATGCTTTATCGGCTGCAACCATCTTACATGAATAACTTTCAATGCGCCCTAAAATAGTCGAATCGCCAGTTTTAATTGAGAGAGCGTTATTTATTGCTTCAAAACGAGAGCTTTCTAACAATTTCATATTGGTACTCTTGAATCTTTCTTGTTTTTATTAGAAATAATACGAAATTTTATAAGGGATTTATATATGTAAATCTCAGGAAGAAAATATGTATGTGTGTAAGAATTCTTATTTTTGATAAATGTTAACTATAGGTGAATCCTAAATTTGAATTTTAAATTCAAGTGATCAAATATATTCTATTTTATGTATATTTACTTATATTTTAATGAAAAATTATTTTATTATATTCTTAGTAAAATTGATTTTTAAAATACAAGTGAAATATATCAAATGGATACTTTGATTTTTGTCAATATAATTTAATATTCATAAACTCTTTATTTAAATATTTATATTGTATATTTACTGGTGCTTTAATATTTAGAAATTTTCCTTCGAACAGCATATATATATCATCAAACTTTTGTTGAACGATGCTTCTTATGTTTTATTAAAATTTCACCTAATTGAAATGTTTTTTGCTTATTATTTAATTCTTTATATAATTTGGAATGACTCGTAGTTAATTTTTTTAAAATAGCTTTGATTTTTTATAATTTTATTGTGATATAAATATCTGAGATAATATACTTTGCTCCAAATGTATATAGAAGAATATAAATATTCCACAAAAAACAATTTAATTGCTTATGCACAAGCAATTTCTGCAGCAGGTCTGATTTATCAATTGTAGGTGATGTCTTCCAATATTGGCTAATTTTATCGTTGAAACTGATCTAAACATTGTAGAGGGATGTATCGCAATTCTCTTTTTAACAGCGGCTCGAATAACTTGATTTTTATTTATTTTTGGAACAATTGAGCACATTACACTTTTCATGAAAATACTAGGTTTTAAACTGTTGCTTCTCTCTTTTGCTTTTCTTTTCTTTTCAATTGTTTTCTTTGTTTGCTATAATATTTTAATTAAAACAAGTTTCTTTTTTTTTTGCTTTTGAAAATAAAAAAATTAAATGTTTGTAAACACTTTTTTACATTTAAGTAACAAGTTTTTATATATTCTTATGACTGTGTTTTCTACTGAACACCAACACACAACACTTTTCTAGTTTTTATATATATATATTCCTATATATATATATGTTTATATTTATATGTATGTATATATGTGCTAGGATTTATATACCTTTTTTAAATTAAGCTATAAATGTTCAAGATAATCTAAATATTCACTCATATTTGCGGCTATTAAATAACTTTTTAAATAAAAACAATATTTGGGATATTATATTTGGCTTAATTTGCGAAATATTAAAAATTTTGTAGGGTGCAACAACGAAGCCCCAGTAACTTTAAAACCAAGAACAATGACAAAAAAAAAGGTCAAATTTTTTTTTTTTTTTATTCAAATTCCAAAGATCTGGATTATATTTTACAATATTAATTTTTAATTTTTGCTATTTCTGAACTTTTAAATAAAAATATTAAAACTTTTGGAACAATAATTTTTCGATAAAATTTTTTTCAATCTATTTATATGATGGATCACAATCTAAATCAATTGCTAATAAACAAAATGCTGCCATTGGCAAATTATCAATTCTTTATTTATGCAATCACGGCACATAGTTAGGGTTGCCGTATTGTAGATTCGTAGCAAAAAATTAAATGCAAGATTCCCAATTGTCAAAAATATTTATTTGAAACTGTATAGTGTTTTGACAAATGGTAATTTAAGAAAAATTACCTCTCAGAAAAATAACATTGGTGTCTTTTGGCTCGACATATTTATTTCTAGTTTTTTCGAAAAAAAATTAAGATGAATTTTCCATGATTTTGTTTTCCAAATACAATTGCCGAATTTTTAGTCAATCAAATATTATCTGCAGACTGCATGGAAAATATTCCAATTCTTAATGTATTTTTAATTTTCTTTAACAGAAAAAAATATTCCGGTTAGACACAATGAACTGAGTTGTTCAAGTCTGAAATAAAAAATACATGCGTATACATATATTTTGCGAACTGACATTCTCTTTTAGAGACATCGCATGTTTAAAATATATTGTAAATATACTGTATGTCAAACTTCATAATGAAATATGAAAGTGACATACAAGAATGAATTTTGATAGGAATAGGAAATCTGGAAATCAAACATACCTATCTGATCGTACATCATTGGACATCAAAAGAATATAAACATTGGTTCTAAAAATTTTGATTTTCTTAAAACAGATAAGAATAAAAAACATACATAAATTGCTTTCTAAATTAATTTAGGTACTTATATACATATTTAAGCATGGAAAGTGAATTATGCCAAATGTAAGTGATTTTTCATTTGAGATAATAGATACATTTGATATAAAATACATATATGTACATATGTATAAAATAAATTTCAGTTGCCAGACCAATAAATTCAAATACTCATGTCCAAAATGTAATATTTCTTACTGTTCTGTTAAATGCTATCAAGATGAAAAGCATCTTATTTGTTCTGAGAATTTTTATAAGCAGTGTGTAGAAGAGGAAATAAGTAATCAAATATCTACTAAAAACACAAAAGAAATACACAAAATGCTTGAAATTTTGCAAAGAGTATCCAACGAACACGAAAATAGGGATTGTGTCTTTGAAGAAGAAGAAAGTCTCGATGAACTTGATTCAGATGATGAAGAAGAAGGTATATCAATAAGACCAATGAACAAAAAAGTTTTTTAAACACTTAGTAATCCAAATTTATTTTCACATAAAATTTCAGAAGAAAGTTTATTGAAGCGAATTGAAAACATTAATATAAATGATGCTGATATTCTTTGGAATTCTTTAACAAAACAAGAAAAACTAAAATTTGAAAATTTAATAGAAAACGGTGAAATAAGCAAAGTTGTTCCACCGTTTCATCCATGGTGGTCAAAGAAGATTTCTGTAAAAATTGTTAGAGATATTGATTATAAAGAAGAAGAAGATTTAAAAACATTAGATTATCCACCAATTGCAGATAATATAGCAAGTTTTGATAACATTATGAAAAAATCACCAAGTTTATCAATTAGATATAGTTTAAGTAATATTATTGGAGCTTATACTTGCATTGTTAGATATTATGCTGGTGACCATTTATTAAGTTCCTTAGAGGCAGCAAATTATCTATGGAAGTTATCAAGTGTTCTAAGCAAAAAATCGGTTTTCAATAGTAATGAAGAAGCTTTAAAATCTATTATAATCGACGGACAAAATGAAGCTTTGGGAATGGATATAGAAGATTATTCAGTAATCTATAAAGATGTAAATGATATCTTTAATGGACCATTTGAAAGAGAAAATTCTGATATATATAAATTGTCAGCCCTTTCTGATATTCAAAATATATTTATTAAAGCTAAGCATGAAATAAAGAACCAGAAAAAACAAAATAAAAGTGATTTTTCAAAAAAATTTGCTAATGTCCCAATTGATGACGAGTTGAATAAAGAAAATTTAAAGAAAATAATAAAAAAAATAGATTTTTTTTTATCATATGTGAAAAGCCAAGTGCATCTTGAATGTATTTAAGGCATAATTTTTAACTGTAATATTTGTATTATAATAATAAAAATTTTAATAAATTAATAATTTTTATTTGAGCGTTTGTTTTTCAAAATACTATCAGGTTCGTTTCATATTCGTTTTAAAAACTGCGAAATTTTGATATGAGTTTGCATTAGATATTGTTATATTCAATTATGGCTATTTTTATTACTTTCTAATGTATTAATCAAATGCAATCATAATACAATATGTTGTTCAAAACTAGCCAATTATTTTATTTTATTATGAATAAAACCAAAATAATTTTAAATAATATATATGTATGTATATTTATGAACTTTTTATAAGAATCTCAATATATATCATTTTATATTGTTAACAATTGTTTTTTAATTTACTTTTATATTGTTATTTTTATTATTTATTGCATTTTTAGATTATATATGTTGTATATATAAATTTTATTTGAATATATGTACAACAGATAAATAGTTTATTATATGCAATCTTACAAGTTAATTAATTAAAAATAGAACATGCGTATTAATTATTTGGTTTCTCTTAATTTTTAAGTATTAATAACTATTTGTTAAAATTTATCCCATATGTAGATGGTACATTCTCTATTTTAAATGTATGCTAAAAACAAATTAATCTTCGCCTTAAGGCAAGATTCTCACCTATTTTTGAATTGTCTAACATTATACTTGGGTGTAGGTTATTCCTTACATTTTTTCACAATACCTAAAACTTATCAAAAATGTCAGTTAATTTAAATATATAAGTTAATTTCACTGTAATTCAATTACTTTTAATAAAATTTAATATTATAGAATAATTTGTTATTCTATATTCATAATCAGTATGCTACTGTTGTTTTTTTTTTTTTTTAAATTTTACATAGGTATAAATATTTTGCGAATTTGTAACTATACATTTTTTTTTGTTTTCGTTTTATTTTATTATAATATTATTATAATTTCAAAATTTAAAGCTAAAATTAATTTAAAAAATTTTTATGAGATACAAAATTATCGAGTTGCAGCATAATTAATTCAAAAACTTTTATACATATTATGTATATAAAATACAAAATTATCGTTTTATTTATTTAATTACTAATATTATATTATGTAATTTATAAATTTTATATCCTTTTCTCTTAAAAATTGTTATAAAATAATAAAATTATATTAATAAAAATACTCGTTATATAAGTAGTTGATGCTAAAAAATCTTGACAATAAAAGGAATTACTGTAGGTACGTATATATGTATATATATATTATACAGAAGAGATACGTTACATTATAGATAATAGCAATTATAAAAGCAAAAAATTTGTCTTCAATTTTTTGGAAAGAAATGAATCTTTCCAATGCGGGAAAGAAAAAAATTGAATGTAGTTCTGAGTATATATTTTTATAATTTATTTATCTAAAAATTTTCAAATTGAGAAACTTAAATTTAAAAATATTCAATAATTTCAATTAAATGTCCTTTGTTTTTTTTTTGTTTTTATATTAAAGAACTTTCCTTTAAACCATTTTATATTTTGAATGGAGAAACTGCAGTATAATTTTTACAGCCGTTTAGGATTTTAGTATTACATATTTTATATGTTATGTAATATTATGTACATTACATAAACTGTTGAAATAAAAGCACCATAATGGGTTACTTTTTGCATTGGATAAAAATGTTTGAAGGTCATAAAGACATTTAAAAAGTATTTACTATATATGTATGTATATTTTATTAACATTTTGAAGTATTCAATTTCAACAATATTGCAGAGCTCTAAAAACTTTTTATATAATATGTACATATGTATGTATGTTTGTATACTATTTTTCATAATTTTCTTAGATGCATCACTAAAGTTGAAGCGATATCTTTTTTTATCAAAATTTTCGCAATTTTAAGAATAAAATTAATTTATAACTTTAAATTTTTTTAAAGAAAACCTCAATAAATATTTTCGAATAGTATCTCATCACCTTAAGTGATGCGTCTAAAATATATGGGTGTACTTTTAAGTGCTTTACATAGTTTTGTATATTCTCGAAAAAAGTATTGTTTTAGGTAGATGGTAGAGGCGCAACAAAAGCAACTGATAAACATTTAATAAGTTTTCGTGTTCAGGATAAGATAATAAATAATTCAATTTATATTTTTGCACAGAAATATAATATATTATTTTTTTTTGCGTAATTATTTTTGTTATATTGTAGTTTAATGAAATAGCAAAATTTAGTTTTAAACTAAAATATAAAAAATAAAATGATAAAGAAAATTTACATCAAACATAATAAAACCATTCAAGTTGTTGAATGACTTGAAATACATATGTATGTATGTATATATTAATATTTTTATTAATTGACCTTAATTTTAATTTGTCATTACATCATTTCAGTGTAAGAGCCCTAGTTATTTTACAACATTTATTATAACTAAGTACAAATGTATGCCTCGATGCGTATATGTATATATGTATGTACGCAATATCTGTATTTTAAAAACTTAATATTTCGATAATCATTTAAAATGTAAAATCTGAATATTACTTTACAATTTAAATGTAAATAATTCTGTGTTTGCAAAACTAAGAATGGTTTAAATTAAAATGAATAGTTCTAAATTTATTCGGATCTTGATATACATAATTTTATGTTCCGTCCAATATACTTTTATTCTTATTCTATTTAAAATTTTATTATTTTACCTACATAATGTAATATTTTAAAGCTTCCTTTAAGAACACAGCTTTCTTAAATTATTTGTATTAATATTATTGCATTTTGATAACTTAAACTTCAAGGTATTTGTCTTTTTGAACTGAAATGTATGTACATACATATATGTTTGTACCTTATAGTCATCGTCTGGTATATGTATATATATCTGACTAAACTCAATTATATAAATTTAGCAGAAATGAAGGCTTATATAATATAGAAATACCAAAGCTAATGAACTGAGTATTATTACAATAAGGACGGTAATTAATCAATAATTTTTAGAGTATTTTTGAAATTTTTTTTTACATATATATGGCTGCATATGTACATACATATATACATATGTACCTACATGTGTTATTTCAGGAACTATTTCACTTTTAAATTTCTTTACGATTTTACTTTATCTATAGCGCAAGTATAACAGGTAAATATTATATTATTATGGGGTACATATTGATGCAATCAAATATTAAAGATTAGAATAATTGCCATAAAATTTTGGAATTGAATTAAAGAAGCTCGTCTATTTGTGCAAGCTAAAATTACTCGAATTTTGAAAAATATATTATGTATAGCAGATGTATTAATACTTTGTGTTAAGTAATTTTTATTTCTAAGTTCTTAAATTTATTTTATTTATGTAAGCATGTTAAAGTTAATCCTTTCCAAAAATAAATTTTGTATAATTTATTTTGAAAACCATAATATTATTATGATAGTTACTATTTCTTTGTATTCAGAATTATTATATTGACTAGAAAAATTTATATACCTATACAATATAAAAATTTTTCATTACATTTTATTTATCATTTGATTATCCTTGTAAAAAAGATTCACGAATTAGTGTAAAAAATTGAGTAACAGAGTGCTTCTTTATGGGTCTATGATTTTGATCTCTTTTTTTTTAAAATCCCATAAAAAATTTCCATAATATTTTTTTTTAATTTTTATTTTATTGTCTGCATCATTTTCTGTAATGAAATGGCAATCTTGCCCTCTTTCAATTTTTCTCTTCATTAATTTTTCTTGTGTTCATGTATGTGTGTGTAATAATATATTGAACTAATTTTGAATATTTATTGAATATCGGAGTAATTAAAATGCATATTAAACTTATATAAACAGAGTAAACACTTTTCAAATTTCGCGTTCGAACATACTCTTGTGAGAATCACATATTATTGTATGATTGGCTATTTTGGCACGTTTGAAAAACTTAACTTTAACAAATTAAAGAAATGGAGGTGGTTGTTGTAATTTTTAAAGTCTTGTTCAGATACGTTTTTTATATTTTGGTGTAGTTCATTGTGCCTCTACCATTATAATAGTAAAGTTGTTATTTTATTGTTTTTACAATTATTTATGATGGTAATTTCTTATCATTGAACCATAGTTTTTCTATTAACTTTAATTCAATTTTAATTCATACATTTTTAATTAGCAATCACCATTTATAATAATTAAAAAAAAAAAAAACTAAACAACAAATATGTTAAACTCTTTAATACATGTTAAAAATTAATGCAAAAAAAATATGAAAAGGTGAATCAAAAATTAATTTAGGTTAGTAGGATGAGTAGGTTTGTTCCCGTTTCAATTCATTATCTAAATCGGCTAATTGTTGTAAAAAACCATCATTTGGGCGTATATCTCGACGCATACGAACTGTTCTTATTGCTTCAACTGCAGTCATTTTTTTCGATATCATTAAATGTGCTAAAACACATGTTGCAGATCTGGACATTCCCACTAAACAATGAACTAATACCTTGCCTGAAATTAAAATTTATAAAATTATTTTTAAACTTATGTACATATGTATATTTCTGTATTTTATATATTTTAAGTAAAAGTGTAATAAAAAAATTTTTAAAATTTGAAGCAAAAACCATCAGAGTCAGAGTGTGTCAGAGTGTTAAAATTATTTCAGAGGCCTATCTACATATATATATACACTCATACATAATATGTAATTTTGTAACATGTATATTTACCTCCACTACTTATGGCGTTTTCTATAAATTTAGATGCAATGTAAAAATATCTCGAAATGTCAGTCGTTGGTTGATCTAACATTGGGAAGCCCATATATCTACATACAAGTGTAATAAAAATTTTTATAGTATTAAAATATAAAACTTATTTAATGTTTTATTTATTTTATATATATACCTTATATTTGGCATATCACGGTAAAAAATATGTCCTGTGTCAACTTGACCATACCTAGATCCTTCAGCTGTATTAAGTATATGTGTTATACCCATGATTCGAAGAAAAACTTTATTTCTGGCGGAATCCCTATTTTTAGAAAAATCAATAATTTTGTAAATTAAATTTTATTAGCAATTTACAACAAAAAAAAAAGTAAATATATTCTATTGTAATAAATTATGTATGTATATACTCACGCATCTCCTATATAGATTCCTGGATAGACTTCATCACAGTCAACGCCATGTATGGCACATTCAGAAGGACGTGAACCAGGCAAAGGACGACATGGTGCTACTGAATAATGTAAAATTCTTTGCAAATGATGTCCAGTAGTCTTATCTGATACTTCCATTCTAGAAGGCCTCTGTTGTACATGTATGTATGTGAATATGTATTCGAGTTGGATTTGGATAATTCAATAAAATATGTAGGTACATAAAAATAAATAGAAAACAGAAAAAAAAATATGATAAAATTAAATTTAATCTTTGTGTGTTTGTACTTATGTAATATTTATTTTTTTTATATTTTTTTTTTATTTTTTGCATAAAAAATTTATAAAAGTCTTAAATATTTTAATTTTGTTTTATTATTGTCAAAAAACAAAAAGAAAATTTTTAAAACACAAGTTTGCAGGCAAAGTTTATAATTATTTTTTGAGGATTATTAGTCTTAACTATTATATTGTATAAATATGGCTGTAGGGCGGCGTGTCAATTGATTCTGAAGCAAAATGTAAAAACAAAAATTGGAGCTATAAAGAAATTATTTTAATACTGCTTTTTCAAATCAATTTTTAAAACTACAGCAATTCAAATTTCAATATGAAAATTTCGTTTCAATTTCCAACAGTAATATACTTTATTTAAAACAAAATTAAATAAACACTTTATGATCCAGAAAATTTTTTATTATGCAATAAGTTTATAATAAAATATAAGGTAATTAGACGATTTGAGGTGTGGAATAAGTGTTCTAAATCATAATTTTATGATAAAAAGGGATTTATTGTTATAACAGTTTGAATATGTGTCTTACAGTGTTTAAGGCCGTATCTAGCTTATCAAACTTATTAAGTTGTAATTTTAGTTTTCTTAATGTACTATCAGTTTATAAATACATACATATGTATAAATACTTTCAAGAAATAGTAAACAATAACACTACAGCGGGGTTTATTTCATTCTAAATATTCGTGATTTTTCAAAAACATTAAATATTTTATTATACAATATTTAAGATTCAATTAATTACAGCCTCTTTTTAAAATTAATATATTAAACAACTCCTATACCAAATTCGATATTCAAAAGCCTTGAATATTATGTACGTATATAATATGAAAAGCGTGCTAGAAACGCGTTTCGCGATTATGAAAAGATATTTAACAAGATTACTATAGAAAAATTTTTAATTAAAATTAATTATTATTGTTACTAGCCTAAATATATCGTTAACAAAAAACAACATTATTTTTTAATCAAAATTTTTGTTTAAGACCCATAATACTCATACATTCAATATTCTGATAAAATTTATATTATTAAAATAAAATTCTGATGAAATTTAAATTAATTATTGTAAATTTAATTTAATTGAAGTATAAACGTTTAGTTTTATTTATTTATTTATTAAAATCGTAAAAGAGGGGAAAAAATGAGTTCTTTTTCAGATGCATCTAGTTTTAATTTAATTTCAATATAGAGTATGTATGTGTGCGTGCGTATGTGGTATATAGAAAACAAAGCTTCCTTTTTTTGTTTGTTTAGTTCAAGTTCAAGTTGTCCTGATTCGTATGATGTAAAACAAAAATTCTATTTAAAAAATAAGTGTGCCGAAGATAAAATATAAGTAATTGAAATTAAATTATTTTTTTTTGGTATTGCAGTAAAAAGAAGAAGTATTGTAGTTAAAATTATTTGATTATAGTACAAACGTATATATAAATATAAAATGTTAATATCGTATGTGTCCGTAATGTAAGTTTACCGTCATCTGAAAAGAAAAAATTTAAAAACATTTTAATTAATATACTGGTAATACTATTTGGTAAACATACTGTTTGCTTCTATATGAAACAATAATATAAAGGAAAAAATAATGAGTGAGTAAAAAAATACGTTTTTACTTTATTCCAATTTATGAATTTTTTACTCGCATAGCTTATACCTACATATATATAAGTATGTAGGACCAAGCAAGACCATTACAAGGGTCCTTCGGTATAAACTTCTGAGAGAGATTTTTTTTTTCTTTTAAATTTATGAATTGTAATATTGTTTTTGTTTAAGATAATGCATAAGTGTAGAACAAAATTATTATTAGATAAATTTATTGATTTGATAATCGATTCTACTTCTAAACAAAGGCATTATGTACTTGTATAAAAAAAATTATATGGCATAGATTATTTATTAGCAAATATATTTATGATTTAAGATTGATTTTATTTACTTATACAATAATATATAGTGAAACGAATGTGATTATGAATAAATTAAATGAATGTCATAATAATAAATTGAAACAAATTTTTTAATATAAAATCTCCACTTCAAAAATTTGAGTTTTCACTCACTGGAGGGAGAATTAGAAAGTGATTGTCATTCATTCGTATTTAATATAGTAATTTCCAAGTGAATGTGTTTCATGTCATAGAATTTAAATACTCATCATTAAGTCATTTTATGTTTTGAAAGGTGACTTTTTATTTGATCTTTTCAAATTCTGTCAATTTTTAAAAATAGCATTCTAATTTGAAAATGATTAAAATTATTGACTACACATTTGTATAAAATACGAAATGTGACTCATAAACGTCAATTATAATAGCATTAAACAAATTTTAACAAAATTTTTTAAAACTTTTTTCTTACGTTTAAGAGGTTTTTGGAAAATGAGGTTATAAATTTTTTATTAATATTTAAGCTTCCTAATGAGAATTTAATTTTCTAATTTGAAATAAGTATGTAAATATAATAGATACTTAAATATAAAAAATTATAAATACCTATATATATACACATGTATAATTTACAATTTACATTATGTACATATATGTGTAAGTATATTATTTAAAACAAAAATATTATCGAGATTTAGTTCCAACAAATTGTTTAATTGTTTAAATTTTTGAATAAAAATATTTGGATAACAATATACTATATATTATTTGCATATTATAATTGTGTATATTTATGTATGTATATGTCACGTTCCAGTACAATAATTTTATCAATATTGTTATCCAAGCTGGTGAATGAATCTCTGTTTTATGGCTTCGTACGCGTACAAACATATTTAAAAAGGAAAATAATTTGCGGGAATGAAAATCTATCATCTTATAGAAAATTAATAAGTCAAAAATATGAAATTAACCCATGTATGTATAATGTATTTGATAAATATCATAATTATTTTGAAAATATTGTTTGGACGTTAGTTTTTTATGGTGAAATGTCAAGCCAAACTGACTGTGATGACAAGAGTCGATGTGACATTGAGAAGCGTAATGAGCACGCAAAATTAATAATTATCAAATATTCTAAATTGTTATGCAGATACGAATAATAAATAAATTTGCAATCTCTGATTCTTATATGCATGTAAATATGGTGCATTCCTTTCTCACAAGATATGGAAAACCATGTATGTATGTATATAATAAAATCTCATATTTTAAGAAAATCTAATATAAATTAGGGAAATTATCAATATTTTTCTAAATATAAAAATAATAATTTATAGATTTATTTATCCCATAAAGATGTGCATGTGTACACATCACATGTTATCCTTAAAATATAAACAATATATAACAGGCTAATTATGGTTCTCCTACTTATGTTCGTATATATGCATGTGCGTAGGTAAATATGTAATTTTATACGAAAAATATGTAAGTATAAAACTAAATTTCAGCTATTTTTTTTTTGTTAAATAACTATACATTTATAAAATAAGTTTAAGGTACGTAGAAGGTACCTAAAAGTTTTCATTTTCATTTTCACGTAAACGAAAAGCTAAAAATATTTGCGTATATTTTTTATAATTGTATGTATGGAACGCACAACACAATATAATAATACAAAATTATATTTTTAATAAAATAAGATCTATAAAAATTTCCTACATTAATTTTTCCTGTTCTATTTTATTTTTATTGATATACATACATATAACAAATAGTTACCTACTTATTTTTATTTTTAGAAAAAAACACAAAAAAAAAAATTTTTCTTTTCCAGACATATATTCGGAAAATCTTTAAAAAGTACGTGTATATGTACGTACATACACTTCCATATGCAAACGGATATCTACATACCTAAATACGACAAATATAAAATCGCAAGGAATACTGAATGAACCCCGGATGAATATACATATATGTATACCTATATGTATATAGGTACGAATACGAATTAAATATTCGCTATGTATGCATATGTATACCGTAAATAACGTAATACCGTAAATATTTAATTCATAAGACACAATGATATTTAAAATGATTCCATTTATGATTTCATAATGTTATCATAGCCACATTATCTTTATACTTGCATGCATACAACTTTATGTAGGTGTATGAACGTATATAAATAAGGTATGTGTACGAACATACATAATGTACTTTTTATATTTATAATTTTTATCTATAATTTCTTTTTACAGTTTTGTTATTCCTATATAAACCGTTTGTTCAGATTATTTTAATTTCTTTACTCATTCTTAAAATATAGAATTATATCAAATCTAAAAATTGGGACTCATCATACCCACATACCACGCTGATTAATTAAATTAAATTAATTTTCTTTTTCAATTATTTTTTCATTATTTTAATTTTACTTGTATGTACTCGTATACTGTGCACATATTTGTTTATTTTACTTACAGTAGTCGATAAAAAGATTTGCGTTTTAAATTTTTATACCGACATATTTTAATAATAATTACTCTAATTTAGAAATTAAATAAGAAACTACAAATTAGAGTGTAGTGTATACTCCCAAATATTGTGGCATTTTTACATATGTCATGAAACGGTACTTTTTTACTACACTATTGTCTAAAATTATTGTTTATTTAAAAAATTACATACATTTCCTTAAATTTTATCCATATGTATGCATTTGTTTTATAGCAAAAGTAGGCGGCTCGTCTCAAAAGCTATTCTTTGTATATTATGGGGCAATTAGTAGCGATAAGGAAAATATTTTTAAAAATTTCCTTTTTCCTCTTTAATTATGGCGTATCTCTCACATTCCTTTTTAAAATAATATAATCGAAATGTCAATATTAAATTTTGTACTTGAAGAAATTTTTTCTCTAAATTTTATTATGCTACCTGGTCATTTTAATTTTTTTGGCAATTTTTCAAATATTTCTTATTCGTTTACGACAATTTTAATGCGCAGTAAATGTGTATTGAATGAATCATATCGGTGTATTCTGAAGAGTTCATTCCGTAACCTTGTAATTACTCTCCACAAGAAATTTGAAATGAAAATGATTTTTTTATTTTTTTTTGGAGGGATTACATAATTTTATTTTAATTGGCAATTTTCCAAATATTTTTCGTAGTCGTATATGAAATTTGAATCAATAGTAAATGGTTTACTTATATTATATTTATAGATAATTACGATCTTGATCTGTTTTTTTTATTTTAATTATATAGCGTCTTTATTATGAATACATAAATTTTTATGCGTAAGTATTTTGAACAAGTACGCCGTACAAGACGTTTGTTTATTTTTTTTCTTTTTTACACATTTAAAGTTGGTAAAAAAATTTTCTTATTCTTTTAAAGTGAAAAGATTATATTAAGAAAAACCAACAATTTTTTCTTAATTTTGTATCCAAAAAATAATTCTTTTTTAGTTTTTCACACTTAAATATCGCTTATACATTTACTGAACTTATTTGTTGAAGGAATTGTTTTAAAATTGTAAGTAGTTATGGCTTTTGGAGTCCAACCTAAACTCCTTTATTAAATGCATCAATTGAACATTAAACATTATGATTTTCTTATTTTTTTAATCCTATGTTTTATATTACTGAAAGTTACTAATAGTTATTATCGTGAATAGTCAAATCCAAGTACTTTGTTCAGGAACTCACACTTATTAGCTGATTTGCGTATAATATTATATAAAGAACATTTTAATGATATTTTGTAATAGCTGTGGTATAAGCGAAGACCTTGACAAGTTCAGTATATTGAATTTTAAATTATATTAAATCTGAAAAATTTCTATTACATAATTAAACAACAAAAAAGGAATAAAAAAAAATTGTTATGCAAATTTCACTCAAAAAGTTGTTAGTTATATAGCAATAATTTCGCAAATAAGCACAAACCTAGCCCTATTATATTCAGTTTGCCAATCAATGTTGGCTTAACTATTCGATTGCAATTGTTCGATGCAATTTAAAAATCTGTAACAATATAAGCGTTGGCTGAATTTTTATTCTCCCTCATTAGAAACAGCCCGGTTTCTCAGGAACTTGGGCTGGTTCAAATGAGGGAGAAGAAAAAGATCCGGCGGCACCACAACAAACTTTGGTGGCCTAAGTGTACCTTTCGGGGAGCCATGCAACCTGCCAACATAAACGTTGGCTGGGGAAATAAGTGAAATGATTGCCTGTGAAATGGTTTCCAAACGAATTTTTTTTAATTTTTTGAATTCCATAATTTTGAATTTCTAAAAGTAATAATAACAGACGAAAAAACTATTAACTGAAGATTTGAATATAGTTTTATTTTTTTAATAATAGTGATCCAAAATAACTGCAACAAAGCAAAAAATCAATTAAACAAAAGAATTGTTCAACATTCTTCGTAAAACATTTATGAAAAAAAATAAGCAAATTGCAAGGTCATAGCGCGCAGGTTTTATTTTCTTTCTTTTTTTTTACTATACTATATGACAATATTTAAGTAGAGAAGACAAAATCCTTTATACATGTATACCCTTGAATTTATCATTATTTACTTCCAAAAATTTTAAACCAAATAAAAACATCTTGAATTATTTTTAACCTTCAAAAATAAAAAGAAAATCTATATACTTATAAATAAATAAGTGAAAGAGAAATTAATATTTTAATTTTATATATATATACATACAATCGCATTGTATATACATAAAGACTTTCGCTAGTTTTATTTTTATAATCAATACAAAATTTAATTTAAATGAGAAATAACTAAATTTAATTTAAATATATAAAACATAAAATGTACATACATATGTATATTTTAAATACAAACGTAATGAGAAGCATTTCAGGAAAAAAATTAACTATAAATACCAACTACTTGCAACAAGTGGAAGTGAATTTCAAAGTATTCCGATGAAAAAGCGCAACATACAACATTTATAATAATTAATTTTTAAAAAGTGAATGCAAAGCGATTAGTAATTCATAAACACGAAAACACGTATACTTATAATAAATTATATGTATATCTATATCTTAAAATGCACATTATTTTTTATAATACATAAGTAATTTTGTATATATATATATATGCATATAAATACATAACACCTGTGCCCATGTAGCAATTTATTTTTTGTTTTTTTTTTTTCAAAAATTTCATTATAATTAATTTATTTAAACAAATATTTAAATTAATTTTTTCCCTATAAAATATTTTCTAAAACTTCAATTGATTATATAATTATGTATCAATGTATATAATTAAAATATATACTAATTACACAAATACTTTTACATAAAAATATAAATATTATAAATATTTTAGCTTTTAGCTGTTTAAGTATGGGAGGAGGAAAAAGTGATGGAATATATGGTTCAGAGCGAACAAACTCTGACATCGATATTGTAAAACAATACAGTGTATTGTTACACAATTGAGCAATTATAAGCTGAATGGTATACTAATATTGTAAAGCAGAAATTTTCTTAAAATTATTAATTACTGCATTTTGTATTACATATTCTCTATAAATACCTGAAATAGTTTTGCTGACTCTAAAATTACAACAATAAGATATAAATATATAATTCAGCAATCATAACTTATAAGCTGAATTTTGTATTAGTATCGTATTTAGAGCAATTTTGAAGTTAGAACTTGTTTTAAAAATGAATGCAAATAAAATTCATGATTAAATTTTCATAATTACGTTCCAAAAAGCTTAAATGAATCATTAATTTTGAAATAGAAAAAAAAAAACAATAAAATTTAAGACAATAAATTTATTTAATTGTTTTGTAAAAACTTAAATTGAACCCATTTAATTTCTGGTTATATTAAACTTATTTTTGGATTTTAGTCAATAAATTGACTGAAATTTTTTTCTAATTTTTTTTTTCGTAAATAAAATAATAAAAAAACATTGAAATGAAATCGAAATAAAATGAAAAATTTTCATTAACATTATATATGAAAAAATCAGGTGAGAATCTTTATAAAAATAGATTGAAAAAAAAAATACACCACCACCCTCATCTCCTGAATTATTCCATATTTTCAGTGGTACAATAAAAAAAAAAACAAAAATAAGAGAAAAAATTTTATAGAGAATTTTCGAAATAACTAATGACACATTCATTTTCTATATAAAAAAAAAATAAAAGAATGAAATTGAATTTATTTTTTATATGAAGACAAAAAATTCTATATTATATATGTATATAATTGCTTAGGAATTCAAGCGTGAATCAAAATAAAATATTTAATTTTTAAATATTTTATTTTGATTGAATTAAAAATTAAATGTATGCAATGTACATACATGTATATAAAACGATTGTCCAAACTAAATTTGAATTCAAAGCTTCCCATTACTTCTAACCGAAAGAAATACAAAATAATATTTTGGAAAACCCATAATTTCAAAAACTGCAGTTATAAAGCATTAAAACATAATTCAGCTTATGAATAGTAATTGCTGAATTATGTAGAAATATAGTATTATTCCATTTTTAAAATAACGGACCTACAGTGGAATGAAATGAGCTACCATTTGGAAAACAAGTTCTTACATTTTGATTTTAATTTGTTATAATACGAGTACATATACTAAATCATACATATATGAATTTGAAAGATATTGAGAAATAAAAATTTTTTAAATTGAAATTTTTTTGTTACTTTGGATGGTATACATAATGTATATATACATATTTATATGCATACTATAATCTCTATTAAATGTGCAATTTTAAATATAGATGTATAATAATTTAATATTAATGCGCGATTGATGTTTCTAAGCTTTCTATTTTTTTTTTGTTGTAATTTTTAATGATGATGAGAGAAAAAAACCCAAATTGTCTTACCACATAAACTCTTTCAGAACTATAGCGGGGCATACTGTAATACGAAGAGGAAGAACTTCTACCGCCATTTTTGTCACGATAACTAGCATAGTTACCATAATTTCCATTTATTGCTGAATTATAAGATGGTGCTGAAACCTAAATAGTGAAGAATAAAAGTGTTGTTTTAAGTATATTTTTTGCTTTTTGGTTACTTTTCTATTTTGTTTTTATATTTTCAGATTTATATCAAAAATAGTATATAAAATTAAAAATGAATTGAATTTTTTTTTTTGCTTCTTTTGATGATTTATGAATTTATTGTTTTGCCAAATTTTGGCATTATTTTATATTTCCTTTTAAGTACATATTATATTAAAATTAGAACGACAAAAATATAATCAAACAAATTATTTTAAAATATGTAATTTATATTCTAAATAACAAGAGAGTGAAAAAAAATTGGTTATACAATGAGAGAAGTCTTATACATATTAATATTATGTATAAAAGAAAATTTTCTAAAATTATTAAAAAATTTTTTTGAAAGGTATTATTATTTAAAATTTAAGTGATATAATTTTACTTCTCATTCTATATGTAGAAAAGAGAGTAAAATGGGTTTTCTTTTAAACAAATTGACCACACCACATAATAAGCACTATCAAATTTAATCCGAAATTCGAACGAATCTATGTTTAACATTTTATTTCGTTAAATTGGGGTTCCCTATTCAATCGAGCGCTTTTCTCATCACTTAAAATAATATAGAACTAATAAAACTTTAAATTATCTTTATTTTATTTAATTTTACTACTTGATGAGCAATCGGTATTGGTTTTTTAGGTATATATGAACTATATTGTATCAGAAAACTCAAAAGAAATACTTAACAAATACTTATATTTAGCTACAGAACAACATACAAAATTTCTTAGATAACACAATCAAACACATATACAATGCATATAAAGATATATAAAATATAACAGATATAATTTATATATACAGTCTCTGCCAATAAAATGTTAACACTTAAATTTTTAATTTTACGGCTTACTATATATTCAATTTAGATTAAAAAAAAAAGTTGAAAATTTATTAATAACACTATTATAACCTAGTTCTTGAAGAGTTTCTATAAAAGAAACTTAGTAAATGAGGTTCTTACACCTTGTCAGCTTGTAATTCGTTGTATAATGTAATACTGAATATCAAAAAATTTTACAATTTTTAATTTTGAAAATTTTTTTGAAATAATTGCTTGTAAATAAACTCTTAAATTGCAATACACATAGTTTGTTAGCTTTCTTTTGTGAATGACTGTACTATACGATATTATTTTTATAAAATGGATTGATTTTCAAACACGTTATACAATCAATAAATAAAATAATTATAACTAGACTTTTATACTTTCTTTTTCCATTTTATATTTATAAAAGAAAAAAAAATAAACTATTATAATTTTATAAATATTATAAATCATGTTTTAATTTGCATACATTCGTATGTACATAAATTATATATTATTTACGTCTATTCTTTTGTAAAATATATACTTATTGAGGTGTTCAAAAGCAAAATGGTACAACGCATAAATTGCCAATTTCGAAAAATTTAATTTCGTAAAGCTTATCGTATTAAATATCGTATAAAAGATAATTTCGTTCAAAAGCTTATTTCGTCCAAACTGAAATTGATAAAAAAAGTGTTGTCAAAAAAAGTTTTGTTTTTTAATTGCTTTTGTATAATTGGAAGCATACTTTTGTATAAAAGTAGAATTTATAAAAAATTATCAAAGTATAACAACATTTGTTGTATAAAATTTCAATAAAGTTGGAAAAGTATTGTTTAAGTATGTAATCATAATTACATTTAATAATCACATATATTTGTTAAAGACTTATATATTTATATGGTTCTATTAAATATGAATATTCTGTACATATAAATTTGAGCTCATATAAAATACAAAAGTTAAATATAATTCTGAAATATTAAAATGCATTTATTTCAAAATTCCATTTTTGGCGTTACAACATTTTTTTTTGCTTTTGAGGGCCTTAAATTTGTTTTAGCCGCATATTATATTTTAATTTTATATTTTTATAATATAATATGCTTACATATATAATATGCATTTGTGTAATATGTAAGTGTATGATATTATATATTATTATTGTAATTGTGTGGTATAGTGGGTTGTTTTCAAGTTCGCCATAATAATATTATTTTAAAATTTTTTTTAGTATAAGCATATTATTCCCATATAAACAGATTGTTTTAAAACAATCGATTTTCAGACAACAATTTTTTTTAATAAATTCTGAATTACAGAAACATTTTAATTTTTTCCCAATCAAATGATGATGATGATGTTGATCTAAATTTTATATATATTTTATTATGTTTGAATAAGATTAATTATTTTTATTATTTTTTCTCTTTGTTCTCAATGTCATATAATATACAATTTTTAATCGTTTACAATATTATTAATAGTGTTATATAAATAATAAAGTACATATGTTACAGCAGTGTGCCAACATAAAATTCTTTATGAATTACCGTTAATTTATCAATACACAAATATATGCAAATACATATACTTCTTTAATGTAAATTGCTCTCTTTTTGAATTTTCTTCAAGGCTAAAACCATGAATTATTTTTAATAAATCTTTATGATTTTTTTTCAATATATATACATTCAAATAAACACATACACATAATATAAAGATTTTTTTTTTGTCCATTTAAATTTTTTTTCAAGAGTTTTGAAAAAAAAAAAATTAAAAAAGAAACAAAACAATTAAGTACTTAATCAAAATTTTTGATTAAAAATTACTATACCAATATAATTTGCCAATTGTATATGTGGTAGTGCTACAAAAAGAGTCCTTTCCGAATTGTTGTCCATAATTAATCATCACCATAACAAAATAACTTAAAAAATCTTTTATAATTATTTATAATATTCTTGAATTATAATTTTATCGAAAAGAAAGGCATCATTTAAGTGTTAAAATTTATTTGAAGTTCGCTTATATAAAAAAAATAATATAACACTTAATTATAAGCTTTATACGTCAATAAGAAATAGTTATTATAAATTTTTAAGTGTTGTGCAACAATGGATACTGACGTCACTAAATTATATCATATTTTTTCATGCGTACTTGCATGAAATATTAAAGTGTTTACAATCATATTAAATGATTCAACATTATTCTTATCGTATTTGCTAACACTGTTAACTATAATATAATATAGTTAAAAAAATCAAATAAATATTTATTTTCTTAATTTAAATAATATTAAAATATAATAGATATATGTATATATGCATGTACAAGTAGTTGACTTTAATTATATTAAATATTTTTTTAAGTACACGTAATATGAGCTCAACTATATATATACACTTACATCTACGTACATATGTATATAAATACCCTTATGCTTACTAAAATTTTAAGTACTTCCTCTTATGTTAATAGGTAAATATTTTATTAGAAAATAATTGTTTATTTGTAGAATTTAGACTCTCTAAAATCAAATATCATTTCTAACCTCGTTTTCATATAATATAATATAATATGGTACCTTTTCCATATTTAGTACCCATATACTTTGGACGGAATATTTTCATAAAGTTACAAAACAATCTCTAATTATTAATTATTTAAGATTCTTACGTGAGTAATCATTTTAATAAGAATTTTTTTTTTATTTCAAACAATAAATTAAAATCTTATTTATATGCATACAAGGTATACGTAGTACCAATTTACAAACTGAGATTTGTTCTCATTTAATTTATAATACGAGATATTAATATAAGAATAACTAATATTGTTAAAATATATGTACATACAAACATTCAACAATTTCTCAGAAAGTATTTATAAACAAGAATTTCCTGATCGCTCTTCTATATATAAAATCATAATATAGGAAACATAAAATATTTATTAATAAATTCTTTCTATCAAAAATCTAGATAGCTTAATGTATATGCATAACGAAAATATCTTATAATATTTATCTATATTCTTAACGATATTTATTGATGTTTTAATAATTTTCACCAAACAAAACTGTAGCAACAAAAAAAAAAAAATTATAGAAATAGAAAACAAAAATTACTTAAGTATATGTATATAGTAGGGTAATTATTTTCAAAATTTTGCCTTGCCTTTCATCATTATTATTCTTTGAAGGATTTTTAAAAACTCTATATATGAATATGTATATTATATAAATGTGCATATAATAAACGGAATGGGATAATTTTCAACAAAAATATTACAAATACAAAAAGGAAGGTATTGTATTTGCATTAAATTTCATATATTCGCATCCCTCCAATGGTATTTCTTCTCTCTATGTTATAGAGACAAAGACAAAGAAACTATTTTTAGCGGTATTTTTGGAAAACTCAGTTGGAAAGTTGAAAAAAATTTGGCGTAAAGAATATTTGCAGTACATTATTTTTCTCAATAATTCATTTTCCGAGTTAAAGCTCAGTTAACGGGGCTGACAGCTGTGATAGAAGCCTCAGTTTTAAGGCTTCCAAATCATAATTAACAATGCGTGTTTCTGACTCAAGAATTAAGCTAAATATATAAATAAAATTCCAAAAAGTAAAAAATTAGTCGAGATTGACTTTAAAGCTCTGTAATTACAAATCGCTTCCTTACAAAAGTTTTATCTAGTTATGAGGTCTATATAATGGTATATATGGCACATAATATACGGAACAGTATATATAATTACTATAGATGTAATTAATTCATCAACTTTCGGTCCCGGATTGATTAGAATTGATTTAGACAAGTTATGATCCTTTATATTCAACAAAATAGTACCGAATTTAAAATCTTTGTGAAAACCAAATATGTTATACAGAAGGAAGACCTTTGCAAAAATTTATATATACTCGTATATAATGAAATTTTTAAATAAAAATCATTTTAGAAAATATGCAAATGCACACGGTTATATGCTTCACATCAGATTTTTTTTTCTATTATTTGTTTGGATTCAGTTTTAGTACTGTTTTATAAAAGAAATAAGTACATTGTTTAAATAAATTCTATCTGTTATATAAATAGTCTACAATAATTGTTGGAAAAAAAAAATAATAAGAATAAAAATATTGAAAGAGAGTCTTAGTTTTTAAAAACTAAACATATATAAAATTTTAGTACAATTATATAAAAAAAACTTAAGAATATTAAGAAAACTATTAAAAAAAATTAACGATAGAACAATAAATAAATACTTGATTGTATTAAGCAATTTAAGCTTTCTATTATGTATTACATAATACATACTAATATATATAGTATATATAGGTGTGTTGTTACACAAATAGGTATTATACTATTATGTAAGTATATAAAACCTACAGATTTTTCTTTTCCAGTTAAATATGTGTATGTTTATTTTTTATTATAAATTGATTGAAAAAATTAATTTATTATATTAAATAAATAATGGGGAAATTAAAATGTTTACAAGATTACTCAGAGAATTTTCAAAATCATTAAGCTGTATAATATAAAGTGTGTGTACTATTGTATCATTTCGGGAGGTTTTCATCTGTAATATACGTGTTATATTTCTAGAAGAATTAAAAATACATAAATTAAAATATTGTTGTCGTTTAAAGTATTATAACAATTGACCATTGTTATACATTTATTTAATTGGAAAATAATTTATCTTATATACATATCTTTCTAATATCAAATATACATCACAATTAATTAAGTAGGCACATATATAACACACATATGTATATATTTAATTGAAATTATATTTAATTGTTTCAGTCCATATGAAGGGTTTTACAACTATTTGTTTTTTTTATTTTTATCAGTGAAAAATCATTAATTTAGCAATAAAGTGGAACTAAATTACATTTTGTAGGTTAGGTTTAAATTCCTATATATAATATAATTATATATATATGTATATACAATAAGTTTTTTTTTATGTAGGTAGCTATATAAATAATTAATAGCTAAATGATAAGTTATTCCTAGAAGTAAAATTTCGTCTTGTGTAAACAACAAAAATGTATTTTTGTCTTTGAAATAAAGATTATTTTTAGTTTTTATTGTTTAAATCACTCTAATAAAAAATTATATAGAGTACATTTTTAAATATAAACTATTATACACCTATAATAATAATAATAGTGAAAATTACACTAGTATATATTGTGTAAATTTCTTTATACTAACTAAAATTCCATAAATTTTCTTATAAACAAAAATTTTTAATCTAGGTCAAGTACAAATTTTCTTTTCTATTTTTTATCATGTACTAAAATAAAAAACAAGAAAAAAACAAAAATTTTGTTGTTTAAATAAAATTGAATTATTTACTTTAACCTACAAACAGTTTAAAAAATTTTTTCTTCGATTATATATACATGTGTAAATATAAGCTCTAATTATACATATACACAATGCACATTCAAATGTTATTATACAAGTACATAAATTAACTTGATAATATATATTATGTACATAATGACATTAGTCATTAGTATAACAGTATACTATATGTACATAATATAAATAAGTAATTTTCCGATCATTTGTTTCAACTTAGTACCTACTTATATATTATTTGTAGGTACTTCTATTATATATATGTATATATCTATCTGACATTGTTTTATTTCAACACGTTTAGTACATAAAATGTTTTTAGTATGTACATATGTAGATTTATTATGTACGTATGTACATGGGTATATGTACGTTTTATTGATCATTGTTTTGTTTCTTTTATGTTTCTTTTTAAAAAAAAATACTCTTAAATAAATTTTTGTTTAGGTACTTAACTTTTTAATATGCTTGTGTCAAATAAAATAAGAAAAAAAAAACTCGCGGGAATCTATTTTGTTTTTTATTTTTTTTTTTTGGGTTTTTGTCAAACTGACTTTATTTTCCATTAACTATTTATAGACAACTAGTCTTCATATAGTGTTGTTATATTAATGAACATTATATGATAGTGTTATGACAGTGATTGATTGAAATTTTACAAATTGCTGCTTACTGTTACTTCTACGTCAACTTTTTTTTTTGGAATAATATACAGAAATTGTATTAAGAACGAGTTTTAACTTATAATTACTTAATAAGAATATACTATTCATATTATGTGCGCTTAATGACTGTAAAAGGGAATATCATTCGAACTTAAAATATGCGCTCAAGACTAATGTTGTATAACGTCGGATGACATCAAAATTAAAGTTACAGGAAATTGAAATACAATTTAGTTTTTAGGGTGTAATTGCTGAATTGTAAACACTACAGAATATTATTGCATTTTTGAAGTCATTGATATTTTCACATAATATACATATTTTGCTTTTTATTTTAAAAAAAGAAAAAAATTATTTTGTTATAAATTTTCATTTGATTCGTATATAATTTCTTCGTATAATATTTTTTTCTCTATATAAAAGAAAATTGTAGAGGAAGTATCAAACATTTCAGATATCTCAACAAGTTTTAAGTTAAATTGCATTTTATCAATAAATATATTTTTATTCATAGAATGAAAGTATACTTTTAATATTAAATATTGAATTTTCAATGACCTTTTCCATAGGTATATGGAACGAATAAGAATTGTCTTCAAAATGTATAGAGAAAGAAAAGAAATTTATTGAATGGCTTCTGCATTGTGCTTATTTTTATTACGCTATTATGATTTTTTTGGCGGTCACCACAATATAGTTGCTTTTGTATTCGAAATTAAAGTTGACATTTTAAACAAAATTAAATTGGTAATTTTTTTTTTTTAAATTGGAAATATTAACGTTGCTTTTTCAAATAGATTAATATTTAAAGGGCATATAGGATTGCAAAAAATTTATGTGATTATTTTATAAACAAAGTTAATATTAAAAGAAATATTAGTGTAATATACTTAGTGAAATTATTAAAAAGAATTTAAACAAAATATTTAATTATTACATAGAAAATATTATCTTATACTATTATTTGGTTGAACTGTATCATTGCTGTTGAATATGCGTGCTTATATTCTAACAATTGCGGCTAACAAACAGTTCAAACGAAAAATATTTTAGCTATAGATGTGTACTTACGTTATGTATTAGAATCTTACGTATTATAATAATTTTTTAGAAAATAATTGGGTTTCGGATTACACAATTTCGTTACCTGCAGTATAAACTATACTATTATATCCAGAAAATATTATTCTATCGCGAATAAATTTCCATTTAAGTATATCATATTATCAACTATATACATATATGTATATAAACAATTAATCTGAAGAAGAGTTATATATATTGTTAGTCTATAACTAGATAGAAGATAATTAAATTAATTAAATAAATATTAATTTTATATATATTACAGAAGTTTATTGTATATTTTTTTAGGTTTCTGTAGCGTTAAATTAACAAAATTTAGAGTAGACAATCAAGGGTATATAAGATGGTATATGCACGTGGGTAGATAGACAACTTTTAAATTTTCACTTGAATGTGATATCATATATTACTTATAGGTATTAAAATAATAAAAATATTTTAAATTAGTACAATGTAATTATTAGAATATTGAAAATGAAATAAAAAAATTGTTATATATTATAAAAATAAGTAAACACATACCGCATATCTCCACGACATTTTTGTATAATAAATATTTTCTTTTTTGTTGTTGTTTTTATCTAAAAATTATTTTATTCGATTGCTTTTTGAGAAGAAACCAGCAGAAAGGATTTTCACATAAAATTTTGAGTATTTTGTAATAAGTTCTTAAATAAATAGTTTATATTGATTTTGTTTTTATTTACAACTATTATTTTTTTTTTCTTTAAAATTTTTTAATTAAATTATATTAATATATCTACTTATTTTATTAACTTTATTTATTTAAAATAAAAAAATAAAACATGAAAATTGTCACTCGCACTTTTCTTATACAAAATGAACTATTTTTTTGTTTGTTTTTTTTTTTTCTTTATAAAGTCAGGCAAAATTTATTATCCTTTTTATATATTTATATAATATATATGTATAGGTATGCGTGTAAATACTCTAAAAAAAACGAAAAATGAAAAAAGAAAAATTAATCCTTCAGAGAGAGAGAAAAGAAAAAAGAATAAAAAAATTAAACAATTTCATAAAAAAAAAAAAACAAAAAATTTGAAAAAAAAAAATAAAAAAAAATTACATATCCCTTTTGAAAAATCTGTAAATATAAAATGTACTAAAAATTCTGTCTACAAAAATACATACATACATACATACACATGTATAACAAACATTTCCTTTTTTCTTAATAGGCGCATATACTTAATTGTATCCTATGACATAAGTGCATGACATGTGACACACTCGTATAAATATATGTATGTATGTAAAAATATGTGCATGCATGTAAATATACATATTTTATGACATTTAGTTTGTTTCTTTTTTTTTTATAATTTACAATATTTCCATTACAGTGAGCGACAAAAATATTCTCAATAACTAATTATACAAAAAATTTGTATATTCCTTTAAAAATACTAAATATCAAAGTTATAAATTTATATTTGGTATACAATTATTTCCCATATATGTATGCACTATTGTCTAAATAAAATTTTCCTTTTTCCTCATTTCATTTTTCTCAGTTTTTTCTTTTTTCTATCATAAATTCTTTAATTTTAAAACACAAAAGGTCTTCTTTAATTCCTTATAACCTATTACATTTAAATTATTTTTTATTTTACATAAACTTCCATATATGTATGTAAGTGAATTCTAACAACAATATATTGTTCTCAAAAAAAAAAAAAACATTATAATCTTGTTTAATACAAAATACATTTACATATTTATAAAATTAAACGTAGATTTTAACTTTTGACGCTCACTGTGTTTTTATATAAGTGTAATATAATATGTATAATAATATCATAAGCTTTTAGAACATTTTCATTTTGTCTTATTATTAAATATTCTTAATACATAATATAATATGGATATATACATATGTATATGCATATACAAATGAACCTACAATTATTTTATTTATTCATAAATTGAGAATGGAAATCATATAAATTTACATCACATTTTATAATATTGTAAATGTATACCATATTAGTTTTTGTTTACTACCTTATTATAATTCTCGATATCAAAATGAATCCAAATCTAGATATATATACATATATATTTAAAATTATATATTTTAGTTTTTATACTAACTTTTTTTCTATTTTTAGACTTTGATTTTTTTTATTTTGTTTGTTTTTTTTCTTATTTAACCATATAGATTTTTTTTCCACATTTATTCCAAAAAAAAAAACTTTCGTAGTAATATCTAAATTTGGCTAAACTATATAAATGAATATCACCGATTGTTTTAAAGATATTTAATATCTGTTTGTATATATGAAAAAAAAGAAAAATAAATTAATTTCTTTTTTTTTTTTGTTGAATATCCAGAAACACCAACCAAAATAAAAAACAAAAACACAGAGATTGATAATTACAATAATTGGAAAAAATCCATAAAATTGCTAATGTTTCATTAAACGGAAAAATAACGGTATTATGTTGATTACTTCAAGCTTATACACGCTTTTTAATTTTTCCGCACCCTTCGATTGCCAATTAACTACTGATTTTTATAATGAAAAATCGCGCAAAATAGCTTTTACGAAAAATAATTTTTTTTTTCAATATTTTTCACAAAGGCTTTTCCAATTTTGCAAAAAAAAAAAATAAAAGAAAAAAACTAAATAAGGAAAACTATTATACAGAATGAAAATTCTACATCAGAAGCTTGAAAGAACTACGTAATTGGAAAAAATGTTGTCGTTTAAATTAAATTGGAGTTTTGATTTAACTTTTACTTGGCTAAAATTTTTTTTATTCTACTTCGCTCTTTGGAGAGCATAGTACTGGTGCATGATATTGTAGATAACCATGAACCAGTTTCCTGTGTCTTTGAGTTTACTGGATATGTGACGGGCCTATCTTATCATATTTCCATAATGGTAATTAGTCAATATTAATTTATTATTTTATATGTAATGTGCATTAAGCTATATAACGTCGAATATAATTTTTATAGTGACGCGGTCACTCTTTGAACCAGAGACCCTTCAGTTAAAGGACTCGTGCTATTTTTTTATGTTGTGTATATCAGTGGTTTTGAGTTCAGTTTTTTCATGCTGTATGTATGTATAAAAAAAGAAGTAATTAATGCTATTCACATTTTTTGTGAATTTGTTCTATAATTTTGTATTTTTTTTTCCTATTTATCTATTTTAGGAAAAAGTATTATATACATACGAATACAGATAATGAAAAATATTTACATCATTGCGTGTAAAGGCCTTAATATATTTTATGTATTATACATAAAAGCCCCAAATTATATTCGAAATTGGAATTTCTATTTAATTAAGTATACAAAGTAAATTGTTTTTGTTTTTGCACCCAAGCTTTTCTCACTGCTCTATATTTATTTTAAAAAGTTTTTATAAGATTTTGTTCCTGGGGACAAAAACCATTTTGTTAAATCTTGGCTGTTTTGTACAATAAATTTTGTTTGCCTAGGAAAACTTATTATGTATTAAAAATTAATTTTACTTAAAAAAATTCAAATTTGGGTTGAAAAAAAATTCAAAAAATTTGGGTTCAAAATTGATTACCGGACTAAAAATGTGAAATATTTTATTTTTAGATTGCACATAAGTATTACTCACGTCTTTTCTGCAGATACACAGTTTTTTTAATGAATCGGCAACGCGGACCAGAAATTGATGTATGTAATAAGAGAGCTTTTTCAAATAAAAAGCTTTTTCGATTACAGTGGAATGGATTTTAAGTCAATAATATCATGGTTTAGTAGGCTAAGGGGTGACTATAACAGCTTAAAATTTTAAACGATGTTGCAGAGTAATTTTGACAGATCTACAATACAACAGTGTTGACAGCGAAGATATTATTATCCAATTTATAAATCACATGGTAACATTATGATTGCACGATGTACATATTATACAAACTAAATTTAGAAGGTCCATATCCACGTCAATATTTTGATCCTATGAAATATTGAAAATCTCAAAGATGATAATAAAAAGAAAATGCAAAATTATTAGAATAAGAAGAAAAGAAATTTGATGTGGAAAGAATATAAAATTCAAATGCATTTAACTTAAGCAAAAGACGAAATAAATCTGTAAAAAGTTTAAAATCTAGAATTAATGAAAATATCAATAAAAGTATATATAAAATATACTGACTGATATATATATTCTAAATAAATTTAAGTACGTTTCACTAAGAATAGAAATTTTTTTAATACCTGGAATATCAGTGTACAACGAAATTATGGTTTTGATTAAAAAACAATTGTAAAATTAATCAAGATTGCAAATTTATGAAGCTATAAATAATAACTAGCTGATTGTTATACATATTTAAAACGCCGTTGTGCTAAATTGTTCCAGCAACATAACAAATGCTACTTTTTTTAATATATGCATGTACATGCAATATTATTATAGTAAAGCAACTACATTCAAATTTGGTTCAAATTCTGAAACATAAAAAAACGGTAGCACTTTAAATAAATATATCTGATTTCAAGTTTGACAGATAATGCAAATTAGTAGTCGTCAGTCAGTCAGTTTTAAAGATCGCCATTGTGAAAAAATTTTGGATGAAAATCAAAATCTTTATATTTTGAATAATATAATCAACAAGTTTATATATTTATCGTATTTAAATTTATATGATTATTTTTAATAAAGTTTTTCAAAATTAATTTTGTATATTAGCATTTTTTCTTGACTATATTAATGTAGTAATACATAATTACAAGATATCGTATTAACTTATAGGAATAATATAGAAAAGTCATTGTGCGACGTGTGGCTTTATATGTTGCGTCGCAAAAAAATTAAGGAAAAAAACCTTAACTTAGTGATTTTGTTAGTATAATTTTTACTTTTTCCATTGGAGTATTTATCTTTAATTAAGGTGAGTTAAAAAAAATTAAACAAATTTAAATTGTTCAAAAATAAGTGATGAGAAAATACAGGAAAAAGACATAATTATGTGGTTAAAGTGTAGTAGATGATGGGGCGAGTATTTGCAGTTTTGAGATAATGAATTAGATGCAATAAGACTTCTTAACGACACAACTACATTTCAGAAAGTTGTTAAAAAGAAGTTACTAGTGAACAAAAAGTGGTATTCCATTTTCTGTTTCGCTTTGTACTTGTACATTAATAAATTTGATTGTGGCTATGCGTCATTTATGACGTATCAGCTGTTAAAAAAATTCTAAATTATAACTAGAATATTAAAAACTGTGCTTTATAAGGTTTCTGGTATATACATATGTATATTATATATTATATTATATCAAATATAAGTACATACATATATTGTTTTAAAGCTGAACTATGCAAATTTTCACAAAATGGTTTTAAATAAATTTTCAAAATTGATATAAATTTTAACTTTTTTTTTGTTTACGAAAAGATGTAATTTTCACGGTTACCTCATAATAAGCCTCGTGACTTTTTTGGTTAAATGAAATTACAAGTAGATTGTGTTCTTTATATGTAATATATTAGATTTTTGATTTTAATTCCAAATTAAATAAGGACTTGAATACTTATGTATATATCGCCTATATGGAAGCTATCCATAAAAATTATACATAAGCACCTACATATCTGCTTGCATACATATGTAAATACATATTACGATTTGTGATTTTATCAATAATTAATTCAATAATATTATTATTGACTTTTTATAATTTTTTTGTAAATTTTCTACGCAGATAGGTCGAATTTACATACTAATAACGTAATTTTCAGTTTTTTTTTGTATTTTAATATAATTTTGTTTTAATTACTTATACATTAATTTTTAACAAGGTTAATATACAGTATATACTTATACAAATACATATAAGTGGGTAGGTCTTACCATCTTATACATATAAAATTAGAGAAATAAATATCTACATTATTACATATGGATTTGCATAGGATTTTGCAATCAAATTTCCGATTTTTAAATTTTTGTTTATTATAAATGAATAGTGTAAATTACACTATCCTACTTACTCAGCAAAATTTGAGTAAGACAACAATTTAAATTATTTTAAATCAAACGATTCCCATTTTAATGATATCGAAATTTTAATCATTTCTTCTTCTACAATAATATTTTATGTTTTGAATTTGCAAATGTTTAACCCTTTTGATTCCTTTAAGAAAGTAATATTATAAAAATTAGCACTTATTGTTTTTGATTTTATTAATTTAAAATTATGTAGATCAAATTTTGAATTAAAAATTTGCATTTATTTAAATAAATTCTTTTAAAAATTTACACCAGAATTTTTAGTTCGGTTATTGATTTAATACAATAAATTTTTTTGAAATTAAATGATTACTTAAATATAATTTGTAAGATCTAAATTGTTAAGATTCTTAATTCCGTAAGTTAATTTTCCATTCTTATTTTTTTTTCAGGTTATTATTTTTAGATTATATAGGCATTATAATTTTGTAGAATTTAGACGAAAGGAGACCCAAAGTAAAATATAATATATGTAGAGAAATAATTTGTTTAACGAATAATACATTTTCAGATGGCAACAACACCACGAGGAGGTGGCGGAATTGCTCAACGTCCGAATGGTACATCACAAAACAAAATTTGTCAATTTAAATTGGTTTTATTGGGTGAATCGGCTGTTGGTAAATCATCATTAGTTTTACGTTTTGTTAAGGGACAATTTCATGAATATCAAGAAAGTACGATAGGTGCCGCATTTTTGACTCAAACTGTTTGCATAGACGATACCGCTGTGAAATTCGAAATATGGGACACAGCTGGGCAGGAAAGGTACTAAATTCAATCGTTTTATTAATATTATTAGAAGACAAGAGAATAATTCAATTTCTTTTAAATTTGTTTAAATTATAGATATCATAGTTTAGCTCCAATGTATTATAGAGGGGCGCAGGCCGCCATTGTTGTTTATGATATACAAAATCAGGATAGTTTTTTGCGAGCTAAAACTTGGGTTAAAGAATTACAACGACAAGTAAGTTGGATTTTGTTTTTAGATTGAAAAAAACCCAATTAAAAGTTTTTGAGTTTCGGACAGATGGTTGATATTTAATTCATTTGTTTGATTTATCTTTTGGTTATTATGTGGTTTTTATAGCTTCTTTGTGAAAATACGTGACTACATTTTTACTTATTATACTTTTTTAGCGCTTTTATTACTTGCCTTTTAATTTATGTTTGCCTGTCAGCTTGTTTTTCAGATTGATAAGCTAACATCCCTCAAAATAAAAAGCGGAACTATTTTGTTCAAGTACCCATATTGTGATGAATACGGTTCTATGAAGTTCTTAAAATGCTACTTTCTTACAATATACTAAAACGCGCAAAGATTACCACGTATTTTCACTAACTTGAAATTTTTGGGAAGCATGTAATCCTAAATTTAACAGTTCTTAAAAATCGGTTATATTTACTTCATTTCATTGGAAAAATATCTGTCTTTGGTTCTTGCTCCTCCCGAATACATTAAAAGTCAAAAAATTTTAAAACTTCATCTTTTGGTCATTCTTTTTTTTCGATACGATATAATTCAACAAACTTGTATGAAAAAAAGAATGTGCCAGTAGTGATCTTGTTTATCAAGAGCATTATACTTTAAGTAAATTATTTAGGAATCTAATTCGAATGGAACATTTTTGAAATATCATTTAAAAGGGTTGTATAGTCCACTTGCCTTGTTCAATTCCTTGATAACATCTTTATTATTTTATGTGTTGTTGGCATCGTTAATTTTTTTGCGTAAACGGATAGGTTAAACATGTTTATTAAAACGTACTTTTAAATCATTTTTAGTTTCAAGTGAGTCTTAAAAGTAACGCGAATCTTACAAAAGTAATTTTCTTTTTCGACCTTTATTTATTTAAAGGTTTATATGTACACTAGCTATGTGTCGTCTTGACAGTGTTACAGCTCCTTCCCGCCACGTCACGTTGTGATTAGCTGCGTCTAAAGGTTAAACCTTCCACGTTCTCCGTTTTTAGTCGTTATAACGATACAGGCTCTTAAAAAGCATAACCTAAAGAGAAACACAACGTCCAAATTTTTTCATAATATGAAGGCAGAAAATAATAGAAATGTATGTGTATGTAGTTGTTATTGCTTTTTATGTTTGAAGAAGTGAATTAATTTTTTTTTAGAAGCAAACTTTCTTATGTATTCACTTTCCTTCCCTGTTTACTTCTAAAAGATTAAATTTTCTTACAAAATGCGTGTAATTGTATTTATGTACATATATTTAGTTTCATAGTATTTTAAATATCTTTCTTTCAGGCTTCTCCAAACATTGTAATAGCGTTAGCTGGTAATAAAGCTGATTTGTCAAACAGTCGAGTTGTTGAATACGAAGAAGCTAAACAATATGCTGAAGAAAATGGTTTGTTATTCATGGAAACTTCTGCAAAAACTGCTATGAATGTCAACGATATATTTTTGGCAATAGGTATTTTATACTAGTTTTATAAAAAATTTACTATCGGCAGTCATGTAAACAAAATTATTTTTAAATTCATATTATATGGTAGCGTAAAAATGTTCGTAATATTAATATCAAAAATGTTAAAATCAATAATTTTTGTGAGACCTTAATCCTCGAAATGAGGTAGTTTCGAATAATTTCTTGACGAATTATTTCAAAATTTTTCTTATTTTAAGTATTTGCTGTACAATTTCTCAGGTATACTAATGTAGAATTTATTTTAAATTATTTAATTTTTAAAATTATGCAGATTATATTATTATCACACATATGAAATAAGTTTTTTCTTACATCAGAATTTTAGAGTTTGATCAAAGGTGCAACTTATTATAATAAAAATCTCATAATTTAGTTTGAATAAGCCATTTCATAAATTAATTTTAATGAAAATGGATTTTTATTAATAATGTTTGATTAAATTAACAAGTGGCATTATCACTTTTATTTTATAATTGATTTAAAATTAATTTAATATTTATCCTTTTATACACATTTAATATTTAATATTAATATTGAAAAACTATTTATTTTAGCTAAAAAACTACCTAAAAATGATGGTGCTGCTAATCAAGGTAGTGGACGAGGTCAAAGGTTAGCTGAAAATGAACAAAGTAGACAGACGAATAATTGTTGCAAGTGATGTCCTTATATCGTCTTAGATAAGAGAACTTCTGCACTAGACTTTAAGGATGTTTTGTTTACTCTTATTAATATGATGATAAAACTTAAAAAAAAAAAATTAAAAAATTATAAAATATAAAACAAACTATTGTAATATTATAATATTATAGTTTGATGAACAGCAACTATAGTAGAAAAACATTATTATTGCTAATTATATTTTGATTTATAGGCATACGTTTACACACATTTTTATTGATTATTGAAAAAAAAAAATAAAAAAAACTATTATTTTATTGAATAAATCGTAAATTTTTATTTTTTATTTAAAATATATTTTTTTCTTTTTTTTGTTTTGGGCAAACAAAAAAAAAGTATATTAGGCAAAAAACAAACATAAAAATAAATAAATAAACTTATTAAAAAATAATTATTGTATTTCGATTTGATACATTCAAAATAAACAGATAAACAAACAAAAAAAAAACACATCAGAAAAACCATTTAAAATATTACATATAAGTAAAACAGAAACTAGTGGATAAAAAATGATTGAAAGTAGAATAATAAAATATTCAATAAAAATCTATGTATGTATACTTAACTGAAATAAATATAAATAATATATAATATAATATACTTATAATAATGCAAGTAAATAAAATTAATTTAACTACAAAAGTACATTGGAAAAATAAAATTTTTATTTAATAATATGGAAAGAAAAATACTGATGATAAACAATATATTAAAATTAAGATTATATTAACAGAGATAAAAAATAAACAAATATACAAATATATATATATATATATTAATTTTTTTTGTTTTGTAAATTTTCTGTTTCTTCTATTTTGTTTGGTTTCTTTTTTAATTATATTTTAATTAAGTTCTTATTACCGTAATTTTTATTAAAATATAAACATATTGAGATGTATGAAACAATATTTTAAAAAGAGACATTGAAAAGGAAAAATATTAAGCTAAAATAAAAAAAGTCTAATACAAGTAAAATTGAAGAATTTATATATCTTTATCAAAAATAAATATTTGAACAAAAATTCAACGTTCATTAATCAAGTAAGCGAGGAAAAAATCATAAACTTAAAACTAATAAAAAATAGTGGACTTTCACTGATTCTGTTTCAACAATCAAAAGTTATGCAATTCAATATATACATAAGTAATACAATATTATTAGTTTTTGTCCTCCATAATCATAACAGAAATAGAAACAGTATAAAATAATCAAAGCCATACTTAGGTTTTTAAGGATTTGTTTTCTCATATGTACATCTTAAAAAACTAGTGTAGAAAAGTCTAAATTTTGCTACATTTAAGTCGCTGAAGTTGTCATTAAAACATTGTTGAATTAGAAGAAAAACTGAGAATAACAGAAAGCGTATATATTTTATTTCTGCTATGGAACTTTTCATTAGCACATAGAGCTTTTATATGTGCTCATGGAGTTCATGATAAAATGATAATGGATCGAAAAATTAGTAAGGAATTATAAATATTGCGTAAAGGTTTGGTTAATAAATTATCTCAATTAGTTTTAAAGCTACTAATAAGTTTCCAGAGAATTTGGAACTGAATTATTATTGATTTGATAAATTAATTGAAATTACTTATTTTATTATTATTTAATTAAAGTAATTCAACTGAACTAGCTCACAAGAAAAATTTTGAGAAAAATAGGTGGTTAGTGTACCTACAGTACCTACTTTATATGATGCATATTTTCTATATTCAAAATAAAAATCCAAGTTTAATTTCAATTATTTGATCATTTATCAAAAATTTTTTTATATTTACAAAGAACTTTTAATATAGAAATCATAGCATATAATTTTAAAACTTTCTTTTCTTTGTTTCGTAATCCCTATGACTTTCTTTGTCTCTTTTAGAATCTGTGTAACGCTCATTCCTACTCTTTTCTTTATAAGATGTCTTATCAACTTTGTCTTTATCTCTGTTATCCTCATACTTTTCATGCTTGTCGTATGTCCGTTTTCGATTTTCATTATTACGATCTTCTTTGTAGTTCTCTCTGGATCTGTCACGATATGATTCATCATTTTTTTTATAGGAAAATTTTTTGCCATCATCTTTTTGAGATTTGTTTTCACTCAATTTTTTTTTCTCATTATTTGTTTTGGAACCTTCCTTTGAAATAATTGAAGCACTTTTGAAGTTTTCTGAAGTTTTAGTCTTACTTGCACTTGAAGAAGTCTTGTAAATGTCTTGTTTATCTCTATTCAAATCTTCTGATATTCTTCTTTCTCTTCTATGTCTGTTAGAGTGATGATCTTCACAATCGTCTGTTCTTTTACTATTTCTAAAAGGATTTTGCTTTGTTCTTTCTGAATTTTCTTTTGATTTATTGGGATTTTCCTTTGATCTTTCTTTACCTTTTTTTTGTTTACTCTTTTTTCTTTTTTTAGAATCGTCACTACTACTGCTGCTGCTAGAGGTACTACTATCAGAGTCACTGCTAGAGCTACTGGTAGAATCTTCTTTTTTGGAATTATGTGGCTTCGATTTTCCCTTCTGTTTTTCTTTTAACTTCTTAGAGCTTATTTTTTTTTCATTTTTCTTTACACCAACTTTTGATTTTTGTTTGCTTTTAAGTTCACTACTTGCGTCACTAATGCTGCTTTCGGAGTCAGAGTTACTACTTGTACTAGAGCTAGAACTACTGCTACTGCTACTGCTACTGCTACTGCTACTTGAGTTGTCGCCTTTCGTTGATTCCTTTTCTATTATTATGTTTGGAATGACTTTTGGCGAACTTTTCAAAAATTGTCGTAAGTCGTCTGTTAAGCCTCCTAAACCAATTGAAGTAAAGAAATTTATGGCAAATCTAGTATTTTTGGGATTGTCTCTGGGGAACAAACCAGAAAACGATTCTGCAAGTTCAGGATCTTTTAATTTTGCGTTTAAAAAACTTAAACCCATATACTCAGCTAATTCTTGAAATAAAATTTTGATAAAAATTCTGCTGGAGCTTGTAGTTTCCTGTTCATTTAAGTGTATACATTCTAAGACATCCCAACCAATAGCATTCGTATACAATAAATGAGCAAAAAATTTACTAACATTCCTTAAACGGTTAGTATCCAAGCGATGAGTAGTAGAATATGTGGCTTTAAAAATTTCTTCAAAAGATTCAATATATATTTTGTTGATTGCACAAAATCGTTGGGCTAGAAGACCATAAAATTTTTCGTAAGTTCTTTGCTCAGCACAGCAATCTAAAAACATATGGCATAGCTCTGGTTCCTGTCCAGCCTTTAATTCCATTTTCATAAGTTTATGTGCGCATTCTTCATAATCTAAACTTGAATGAATTGTTAGATAGATAGTGCGGCGAAGTGCTACCAAATTTGTTTCCGTGTTGTCTATAATAACTTCAGATTTTTTATTTTCATCATCTATTAATATAAAAAAGAAAAACGAAAATAAAAATTTAATATAGCCCAAAAAAAGTCAAAATACCTTCTTTGTCGCTATCGGAATCCTCACTACCACTTTCTGACCCACTGTCTCCATCCTCAGCCTCACTCCCTAGAAGTTCTCTACTTAATCCGCTGTATTTATTTTCATTTTCTTGGTATTTTTCATCAAACTTGAAAACATCTAAGTAAAATGGAAGGTGTTTTGTTAATATAAATTGACTAGGAAATCGAAAATACTAAACTTACTTAAATTATCTTGTGTTTCAGTGGCTTCATCTAAAGAAATCAAATGAGTAAATTGATCGTCTTCCTCAACTAACTCTAAAGATTCAATTACAGATTGATGGTCCTTAAAGCCATCTTTTCTCACTTGAAATACAACTTCAATCATATACTGCACTCTTTTATCTAATTTTCCTTCGTGTAGGATATTTTTTAACATATCAAAAATAGCGCTTATACCTTTAGATGAAACTTCAGTAAGTTTCATGCCACATTCTCTTAGAAAAGCGATAGCAACCTCAACAGAATCATCTGTTGGATTTTCAACTAATAAAGTTAAAATTTCTAAAGCTAAAATTTCATGAGCAACACGTTGATTAACAAGATGTGCAATAAATCTTGCAGAAGATAAACAAATTATTTTGTCGTTTCGACGAAATCCTCTTTTAAAATGTAGTACAAGGCGTTTTAAAAGTAGTTCACCAATGTTTGGAAATTTCGAATTAATAATAGCAACCAAAGCTGCATATACGTGAGTAAATGTAGGCGATGCTGCTTGTGCTTGTATAATTGAACGACATAACAAACCTCTACCGCGAATAATATTCTCTTTAAGTAATTCACGAGTAATTATGCCGATATTGTCAACATTTACTTTGTTGATGTATCCATGAATTGATTTTTTGAGAGCTTCCCATGCTATTCTTTGATAGGCAGCTGAAGATTTATCTGTTATTTCAGCTTGAAGAAGCCGTAATTTTGCTGGCGGAATATAAGCTCCTCCTGTTCTTGAAGTGAGTAAATCAACAGTTCTTCGTTGACGAGCAGTCATGGAAGAATCAGGATGCTCGTTTCTAGCGGTTTTGCTCAATGTATTGTTTTTATTTTTTTTATGGTCATCAAATGTTTTTTCATTTTCAGTGGGGTGTGAAAGGGATCGACTTCTGCTACGGTCCTTCGTTTTATGAGATGGCTCACTGCTGTGTTCCCTGCTATGCTTCCTTTTTTTTTTCTTTTCACTTTTTTCAGCAGACTCTTTTGGTTTACTGTCTTTAGTCGATTTTTTACTGCTACTTTCCACATTTTTGCTTTCTTTGGGGCATTCACTTTCGCTATTTGCATCGCAGGTAAATTGCTCATTTGCTTTACTTGTTTCAACGTCACATTCCTTGTATTTACAATCATTAGGTTTATCTTTTCTATTTGAGATGTCATTACTTTTTTCCTGTTCCAAAACATCGTTCTCGCAAATCTCTTTTGTAGTATTAAGTAAATTTTTATCTTTCGAGTCTACACATGTACTTAGGGTGGGTATGGAATCCTTTAATGGATGTTTTTCATTCACACAGATTTCAAAATTATTTGCATCATTTTCAAGTTGTGGAACTGAAGTACAATTCTCGTTTTTGGTTTCTTCCTCATTTGCCAATTTACTACCTTCAGATATTGAAACATCTGAAATAGCATTTGGTGAATCATTATTAATGGACTCTGACATTCTACTGTTTAACGCCTCTTGTTTCTAAAATAATAATGAACAAAAGTTTTTAACTAGTACACAAAACGTTTAAAACTTTAAATACACAACAGGATTGAAGTTACAGGATGATGGAGTGGAGACTTACTTAAGTCAATTTAAACTTAATGTCATTTTTGTTTCTATTCAAAGCTGTCATTTCTAATGTCGTAATATGTAGAGTTTAACTATCAACTAGCGAAAAGTTGTTGACATATAATAATATTTTAATGCAGGATTCTTTGAAATTTTGGTTCCGAAATTTAAAGAGAAATACAGAAACGTTGCAAATTTTAATTCTATGTTTTGGCTAAGTAAATAAATTTATGGTTGTCCATTACTTTTGTAATTTTTTGAGAGTGATGGATTTTTCTCGACTTCATTTTTACTATCTTCGTTTAGTACTACTTTTTGCTGTACAGAAATGAATACGGATTGCAACTGCAGGTCAAACTGCAAATATGAACTCAACATCTGTGGCGATTTGCTATTCATGATTTCGCGTACTAATTTGCAGATTAAAACGTGATTGAATAAAAAATAAAAAAAAAAAATTTCAAATTATTGGAAACTGGCTTCAAAGCAGCGTATTTCAAAATATAAGAGTTATATAGTAGAAGAAGATCTGGAGAAGAGTACAAAGAAATTTTTTTTATGTTTGATAAATTCTTTGAAATTTGACGTTTCTCACATATGTATAAAACCTTAAAAAGTTTTTTCAAGTTTTCCGTCTGGTTTATTTGTTTTGTAAATGAGAATTTAAGAAAACGCCATTGTTTCCCTTTTTAAAATTTTTTCAAGTTTTATTCCAGACAGACCTACAATGTCTGCATGTGGTCAGTAAAATTATCATTTAAATACTTGTTAATAGTTTACTGGGTAAAACACCAACATGTTGAATAACGTAAATTGACGGTGTTCCTAATCAACAATAATGTTCACATATTTTGACAACTAAAAAGTCAACAAAACATCAAAACAATAGAAAATAACAAGCAAAATAGGGGAATTCCAATTGATTGCTGTAGTTCGCAGTTTAACAATTTTGTTTTAAAAGTTTTATTTTAAGTAGATGAGGTATTTACATATATAATTTTGAGTAATATTATGTGTAGTATAAAATATACCTAAAATTATGGAGGAAATTTTGCACAGTTACATATCACAAAAGGATTTGGAGGTAAAAGCCCATTAGAAGTGTTCATAATTTGCATATAATGTTATAAGTTATAAAAAAGGTGTAGGAAAACTTTATTTTATTTTTGTTTAAGAAATTTGAGAAAAACTACAATAAAGAGTTAGGAGAAAATATTCTTCAGCCAACAACACAATTTGAGTATGCTTGGGGCCTTATTCGAAGTTTTTATACTTCAGATATTGAGAAGGTTTAGCTTAAATTAATAAAAATAAAGACAAATATAATTATTAGCAATTTCTAGGGAATTAAGTTATTAGAAGAACTTGTTGAAAGAAATTCAGATCGCCTACGTGATTACATATATTATTTGGCCGTTGGATACGCAAGACTTAAGCAATATTTTATGGCCTTAAATTTTTGTCAAGAATTCCTTAAAATTGAACCTAATAATCGCCAGGTTTGCACCCTGCAGGTAACTTAAACAATTTAAAAGCTAATGAAACACAAATAAGTCGAATTTATTAATTTCAGGAATGTATAAAGGAAAAGTTAAAAGACAAAACCATTAATGGTATAGCTAAAGTTGGAAAAGCCACTTTAATAATAGGCGGTATAGTTGGAGTTGCGGCTGTATTATTTAAAGGGTAACAATATTTAATATATTATATTAATAAATTATATTTAAAATTCCGTTAATTTTAGTCTGTCGTTGTTAACGTCAGAGAGTTCGGGACCTTCTTGTAATGAAGAAGAAGAAGATTAATATGACCATAAAACTACTCAATAATTCACAAAATTGTTTTTATTCAGAATCACAATTTATAAGTTTAAGCACATATTAATAAATTATCAATTCTAAAGCAACAATAATATTTGTCACTTCCATGGTGAAGATTATGGATTTTTATGACTACATCAATCACATTATTCTTTCACTTTTACAATTTTCCATTTGAGTTTTCATTTGATAGACATAAAAATAAAATGTAAGATTTTAGTCTTCTCATTTTGTTTTTCACTTGGAATTAATTAACCATTAATAACAGATATATTCGTATGTAAATTAATTGAAAATATGCATTGTAAAATAAAAATTGTATTATTTTGTTAATTTTGTTTTCCTTTTCTCCACTTTCTTATGTTTACCTTTTGTTTACGTTGCGAAATTTCAATTTTCCAGGTACCTACCCAAACCTGGATTTATTGTTTATTGTTTACTTTGCTCATATGGTATAAACTTACGTACATATATTAGGAAGAATTGGAGTGTATTTCACTTTAACTCAATTTTATAATAATTATTTCGAAGGATCTTTTTCTTAATTAAATTCACTGCTCGCAGTTATCTAAATGGTTTTTATGTATAGATTAAGTGTGCATATATACATGTATGTATGTATGTAGGGCTAACTTTGTTTATTCTTGAATACCTCAATATGTATAATTATACTGTATTTATACATACATATGTAAGCACGCCGTAGAATATGTACATATATATGTTAAAACTTTTTTTTCGGTATTCTGCTGTTACAATTGTCTTATAAGCTGATATATGTTTTAAGGAATTGAAAACCAACACAATTGAAATTAAATCATGAATATTAATAACTATGTAGTTTTATTAATTTAATATTTGTCAGCCTAATATTTGGCGACTAGATTTATAATAATTTCGAATTACAATTGAAAACTATAAGTGGGCCATTAATAAGTTAGAAAGAAAAAAATTAGCAATGAATCTGGCAAAAAATTGAATTGTGTTATACATAGGAAAATATTATAGCTATTTACTATGAAAATGCACTATGTAGGGCATTATAATCAATATACAAAAGCATTATGTATGTATGTTACATACATATATTAAAAATTCATAGTGGTTTTGAAAACGGATAAAATCGAATATTTTTCTTCAATACAATGCACTTGAAAAATAAAACGCATCCTTTTAACAATTTAAAGATTTCTTTATTTGCTAAAAAGAACTTAAATTTATAAATTCTATTTAAAATTCACATTTTGGAACGATAAAAAAATGCAACAAACTAAATAGTTTTTTTGTTTATTTATTTTTTTTCTCTCACTTTTAATAGCTCACTAATATTATTTAATAATACAAATGTTGATTTAATGAATTGGGCTGAATGAAATTTAAGTATTAGAAAATAATTTAATCTTGAATTAAAAATTTATATTAAATTGGGCAGTTTGAGAAAGAATATTTTCATTTATTAATGAAAATCTCAATATTAAAAATAATACTAAAAGTGTTGTGCCCATGGCAGATCTTAATCGTTATCAATTGTATATTTTTCTCATTACTAAACTAATATATTTATATATGTACATAAATATGTACGTACTTGTAAAATACTAAAAGTTAAGCAAAATAAGAAATTGACTGATAGCGTGCATTGTTCCAAAGAGGCTATAAAACGGATTTATGGAAATATTTTTTTATGGATTACTGAAATTTCTTATTTGCATTAGAAAAAATGGAATACAAAACACTGCGGCTCTGTACAATGTCAAACAATTTGCAAAATATAATAGTTAACTAAATCAAAAGCGAAAAATTATCAAATTAAAAAAAGCGTAATCATAAAAAACCATTTACATACATACAACGTATGTAAAAATGCGAGTAATATAAAATTAATATGAAATTATGACAAAAAAAGAACATTCTACAAATCAAAACTGTTTGAATAATTTTCATTCGGAATAAAATAAACGAATGACGGTTTCCTTTGTAAAAATAAAAATATATTAAAAGTTCTATTATTTCTGTAAGTTTTTCAGAAAATCTGAATTCTAATAATTTTACAAAAGGCTTACCCTTACAGGTATTGTACCGGTTCTATAACTGAAATTTTGAACATTTAAAAATATTTGAGAGAATATCGTAAAAAAAATAAAAAATTATTCAAAATAATTAGAAAAAATTTATCTGTTTTATAAAAAATGAAGAAAATAAAATAAAAGTAAACAAACAATAAATTAAAATAATTAGAAAACACTACAAATGTAATAAAAATATTGGCACAAAATTTAATGTTATTGCATGTATGTACATAAATACTACATTAATACATACAAATGTATGTATATACATTTGATTGTCATTTTGGTGAGCGTTTTTCTCTATATGTACATATATGAAAAAGGGTCTTTGTAATATCAATTTGTTTTTTCTTTACAAAATTTTTATTATACATACACCTTTTTCTATAATATAAAAACTAAATAAATTGTTAGGTTATCTGTCATACAAATTCTAAATATTTTCGTAGACTTAATACAAAAATTCCGAATATTTTAGTAAAGTATTTTAGGGTATTATACTTATGTATATTTTATTGCATTTGAAAACTTCTCGTTTGAGAAATTTCACTTCTTTGAGAAATTATATTTAATATCGAAATTTGTAATTGGTTGTGATCACTAAAATTCAAATTTTTAATAGTTTTTCTTTTTTAACAATATATTGTGATATTAATACATTGTGTTTCTTTTCACATAGGAATCACATTGATACTTAAACAACTATAATAATATAATTTTACCTTAAAACCAAATTGAAATTCTATTAAGAGATATTTACCTTTAGTGTCTGCATGAATTTAAAATCAAAAATAATTTTGTAAAGTTGAATGTGAAAGGAAATGAACGCTAAGTTTTTATTTTTGACAATCCAACTTCAGTAGTTTCAACTGAATGTGGTAATCAAAATGAATTTTCAATTTTGTTTTAACGAAATATCTGTGAATGTTTAGTCTTTTTAAAAAAAATAATAAAAATAGTGAAATAATTTATAGAAAAAACAATGCACTTTAAATTTAATTTAACATAAATTAAATTTGATAAAATAATTAAATACCGAATCTATAAAATTACCGAAAGGTAATTTTTGGTAAATAATAAGAAGAAGTTTGCTCACACATAAGTATGTAAGTAATAAGAAAATAACAAATTTGTAAAATACCGAAAATCGCTTTAACTTTTCATGAAATTTAAGACCAGGTTTTTATCTTTTAAGTGTTAGTTAAATATCAGTCATTCTTATAGGTATCAATATATGTATGAGTTTAAAAAATGTTTTTTAAAAACCAAAACGATAAAAATAGTCTGTGATTGTAGTTTAATGGCACAAAAGTTTTCATTAAATCTTATTTTTTTTTTAATAATTGTGAAATTCTGTTTGTTCAAAATGTTTACTTTATTTCCTTCATATTATTATTATTATTGTTTTTTTTTTGAGAGTCACTACTTAATTAAGTTGTTATTAACTTTTTATATAGATAATTGAATAATTAAATACAATTTTCATACAATTTGCTTTTGCCTTGCTTTAATAAATATTTCGTTTAAATTCATAATACAATACATAATAAATTTATATTTATACTGTTTGCCGTGATATTAATTTTCTTACTATTTCTTTCTTTTTTTTTTTAAATAATAATTAATCCAATTTTAAAATACATTAATTAACTTATTAACTTTATTTATTGATTTTTTTAATTTTTTATAATTTCTAATGTAATTCCTAGAAAATTTACAAAATTTTTTTTTAAAATAATTAATTCTTTTTTTTTTATGTTATAATTATTTTTTATTTTAAAATTACGTTTGTTAAATTATATAGTTATATTTAATTTATTATTATTTAATTTTTACTCTCTCATAAAATTTATTCTGTTTTAAATGAGTTTTTATTTTGAATTTCTTTCATATTATTTTTATTAAATAAATATATAGTTATTCATAATACTTATAATTTAAAAATAATACATTTTTCTAAAAGATATTGGTAACGTCATCATGAAGATCACATGAACCAATATTTTCACCTTGATACGGTGAAAAGTCTTTGATTTCAGAATTTGGATCACCACCAAAGCTAATACCCTGAAGACATCCTTTAAATGGTTGCATAAAACGATTTTTTGTTCTTGCAGAAACTCCTTCCCCATTAGGAAAACCAGCTAAAAAAAGTTTAAAATAAAATATTATTTTTAAAATTTCTATAAGCATAAACTAAGTATTTCTATTAAAGAATTAAAGAATTTTACTAGATAAAAGACATATTCTACCTATATAAATTTCATCCTCATATGTTATTGTCGGATCCCGATTTTTGTGTGTTCGGAAATTGAAATTTGTATTCGTTCTCTCTGAAAATACTAACTGACCATCCAAATTTAACTCAATAACACCACGATCTGCAAATATTGTACAAGAATGCCAACCACCATCGGATACAAAGCCACCAGCTGGTATTTTCATAGTTGAATTTTCATTAACTAATAGATCACTGGCAATTTTTAAGTGACCATCTTCAAGACCTAATCCTAAAAATTTATTTCCATGTTCACTCCAAAGTATTAGGCCACCTGGTTCGATTGTTGAAAAATTTAACTTAATTTGTATAAATTCGCGTGGTCTGGAATACATAGCTAACCCTTTTCTTTTTTCTTTCATTGGTATCCTTGGTGGTGGTAATACTAAATAACTGTTACCTCGAAAACTCGGTGTGGAAGGTTTTGTCATAGCTACAAAAATATATTTAAAAACATTAAATTAAATTTATTTCATTGCGCTAATTTTTGTGGAAATAGATATTGGTACCGATTTCACAATAAAATCCTCCCCATCCATTTGGACAGCTACATCGTCCGCTTCTTAAGCATCTACCATTATTTTTGCATGGTATAAGTTTGCAGGTCTCAGAATATTCGCAACGGTCACCTTTGGCATATTCTGGACAAATACAATGAGGTTGTAATTTTGCGTCTAACCAACAATGTCCTCCAGCTTCACAGGAATCGCCTCCACATGCCGTTCCATCACAGTCTCTAATATTACGTGATTCTATGGAAAAAAAACTCATAGCAAATTACAGAAAAGCATGAAAAAAACAAATATTCACCTAATATATTAGTTTCATTTAGAACAATTCTTGTTCCACTTACTACCAAACCTCTTACGCAACCTCTGAAAGGAATTGGGAAGCCTGAAATTGCATAATTTGGTAATTTTGACAAATCTTTAAGTCCACCAATATATAGCAATGAGTCCTGTTCAACAAGAACTTCGGCTGAAGGTGCTAAGGCAGAAGACGCGCTTCCTTCTACCCATAATGTTAGCCACCTACCCCTTTGGGCCATTTTTATTTTATGCCATTCTCCAATAGCCAACATTCTAACACTTCTAACAACAGTTACGTGATTATTAGGGCCCGAAATTCTGAATTCAACTACACCACCTTGTAAACTTAAACTAACAAAGCCAACTTTTTTATCTTGATTATTATTTAAGGTTCCAAAATATAATAGGAGACCCCTTTCACTTAGGGGTCTTATTTGGAATTCTATGAAAAAGAATTGCACTCTATGATGTTCTTCAACAGATCTTGGCATTAACGGTACTGGTGAAAAACTTCTTTGCTTTTCAACTTCATTAAGAAGTTTCATAACGAAATGTTGATTTGGTGACGCCGAATAGGCCATTGGCTTTGGCATAACCTTCTTAGTGAAATTTCTATAGGCTACAATTTGAGATCGCTTTGACCCAATTTTATCACGTTCAGAATTCAAATACGGCCAACGAACCGCTAAATAAGATCGTCTTCCTGTTAGTGAAACATCGCTTAATGATTGTATTTCTGAAAAAAGATGAAAAAAAAAATATTACGATTTCATAGCATTTCGTTAAATTGTGTATATAAAACCTTCGTCACAATTCTTTCCAGTTTTTCCAATCGGGCAGTCGCATTCGTATCCATTAACTAACGGCACGCACGTTGAATCTTCGGAACATTTATTGTTAAAAGAGTCGCATGGATTAACATGTTGCGCACATAGTGGTCCATACCACCCTTCTTGACATATACAGCTACATTTTTAAATAGAAAAAATAAAAAGTATAAAAAAATGTCAGAGTACTTTGTCATATAGAACTAACGTAAATGTAGCTCCATGTTGTAAACAAGCTCCATCATGTTGACATGCATGACGATGACATTCTCTAGTTCCGCACTGTCCCACACCTCGACCTCTAACACCTCTTGTCTCTTGCAATGGTACTGTGACTTGCCCTGATTTTAAACTAACATCATAAATACATCCTTGGAAGCCAGAATGTAAAGGTAAGTCATGTGGAAGTGTATTGAAATTAACAATTTCATGTCCACCCAAATATAAAATGGGAATGACATCCATTCGGGTTACACTTCCAGGTGATCTACCAGTTATATTGAATTTTCCATCAACAGATAACCAAGCTTGTCGGCCAATCCTTCCTACTTTAATTTCATAAGGTACACGTGGAGCATCTAAACGAAAATCTATAGGTTTCTGTGTAAATATACGACGTGGTCCACCTCCCAAGTTCCAAGTCAACATAATGTACCCTTGAATAAAACTAACTGCTAAATGATCACTTTTTTCATCATGATATCCGGATTGACCCAAAAATGCCAACAAAGAAATTTGAGACATGGTTTGTGGCAGTATCTTAAAACTTAATTCCAATGAATATTCTAATGGAATTGGAACTGTGTATGCCACATATGAAGAAAGACCATTTACACTCCCGGAAAATGATGGTAAGGCCACCTCAAGATCTAAAGGATTTTTTTAAAATAAATTATTAGTACAAATAAATTTAAAAAATTTCGAAGTAATTTTTTAGGAATATGTTACAAAAGTTTAATAGAAATTATTTAATAAGAGACTACATATAAGTATTGAATTATTTATACTTACTGTGCTCACAGTAATGACCATGTTTTCCTAATGGACATAAGCATAAATATCCGCTGCCAGGGAATTGAACACAAGTTCCGCCATATTGGCATGGATTATCTTCGCAAACTGAAGTCTCACAAGTTGATCCCATATAACCAGATGGACACTTGCATTTCCATTTTTCCTGTTTTTGACCATTTTCATCTACTTCTTTTGTATCAATTTTGATACACGCAGCACCATTACGACATGGACTTGACAAACAAGCTAATGATCCACATTCTGTTATACCGAAACCATCTAACGCATCACTATAAAATTATTAACAAAGAATTAATTTTAATTATTTGTTTTAGATAGAAAAAAACGAAAGAAATATCTCCACGAAAGAAGATAGTTATATAAGAAGATTTATAGGAAAACCTAAAAGAAATAAAGTTTTCTATAGGATTTACCCAAATATGTCACGTTCTTCTCCATTAATTTTTAAAGAATGCAGGCATCCAGTAAAACCAGTTCCACTTTGTGCTGGCGGCAGTTCAATAATTAAACCAATTGGCGCTTGAGGTGCACCACCTAAATGCAACCAAGTATTTAATATAAGATCAGCAATATGCATACGATTTGGCAACAGTTTGAGCCATGTTGGTTGATCACCAGACATTGTTAAGGTATCATTCACAAGTAATGAAGCATTACAATGTGTGAAATTACGACTAAAATCTAATCTGAAATCAAATAAAGTATATACAGCAACATTAAAAAGTTATTATTTTTGTAGCTAATCTTGAAATTTAATAAATTTTTAATGTAAGTTAATAATATTATATGCGTAGATATGTATATATACATATACGCTGTAATGTTATCTTTTACTTTTGGTTATTTCAATTTAAAAGATTTATATGTAATCAATTTTATGTTTTTTTTTCGGACATAAAAATAACAAAATTTGATGTGAACAACACATAGCAGACGACATTTAAAATTTTCAAAATGATGATAGGAAAAATCATGCAAATTTATTTTAACTGTTAAAATTGGGGGAAACCCAGCCTTATTTTTAACTGCTCGAATCTTATGTATGTATATATATACATGTGTAAATCAGTTAACTTTTGATACCGAAACTAGTGTTTGCATGAAATGGCCGATATACATTTGCTAATAATATTGCAATTATTGCAACTCACGAATAAGAAATAATTTATGAGCCTGTAATGTCATCTAATATACAAAAATTGAATAATATAGACAAATTATATTCGGCCTAATTAAATAGATGAACGAAATAAATAACGTCAACTTTTTGAAACTCATAATTTTTAGTTTTTGTTCATATGTAAGAATTCGATCAGGTTTTAAAAACAATCGTATTTTGTAATAAATGTAAAAAATTTGAATGAACGTTTGAAAAAATTTCCTTGTACTTGCAATACACATGTATGCACATATGTATACATACACGTATTTATTACTTGTATATATAGTAATAATTTTTTTTTTGGAATTTATTCAAAATTGAAAAATAATAAAACCACATTTTATTTGCATAATATAAACAGAATATATATAGAACAAAATTTAATAAAATTTGTTACAACTTTACAATTTATAAAAAATATGGAGTCATTTTCTTTTTATTGTACAACAGTATAACACATGTGTGTATGTATGTATATGTATTTGCATGTACATTGTATTTTAATTTATATCTGAGATTGTTTTCTAATTTACCATATGTACCAACATAATTTTTCTTTGGAATTGCTCAGCCAGTAAAAAACAAAAAAAAAAAATTAAAAATTAAACATTCGGTTTTTTATATTTTGCATGAGACTTAAATGGAGTGAGTGAAGAACATAATAAGTAAGAATATAACATCCTTCATTTGATTTCTAAAAAGATTTTCATTTAAGATTTTAATTTTTGACTTATGTTATATTTTTAATTAATTCTTTCCAAACTATTTATATTAAAATTTAAGTCGGCATTCTAAAATATATTTTTCCAGTAAGAATTAAATATTAATTAAAATGTAGGTATTTATGAATACTCGTATTACAGATATTAAAATACTTGAAAAAACTTTTAACTTACTCGGCACGTATTGTTATTTCATGTCCAGTATTAACTGGAGTTTCTAATTCACTAAGTAGCATTGTTTGTAAACCACATGAGAACTGGAATTGCAATAAACCTTTTTGTAAGAATAATGCCATATAATGACCACCTTTTGTGCCTTGTGCAGCAGCTAACATTATTAAACCATTTGTGGCACGTGTTCGAACTTTGAGCTGAATATGCATTGGTAATACTGCTTCCAAACTTTCATGATTTGGTATATCCTTATTTATACGATGACTGACATATGAATCACCTGAGAATGCTGCATTTTGTATTACAACTGGACTTTCACATAGAGGTCCCTGACGATCAAATCGACATACACACTGTTAACAAAAATGAAGACAGACAATTTGAATATCAATATATATATACATACATATATGATTTTTTTAATAAATTCTATTTTTTGGTCTTAAAGTTTTAAGGGATAAAATTTTCTTACCCTAGAGCCCTCAGAAGTTGTAACACATGTTCCTCCATTAAAGCATCCTAATTTAACACAATCTGGTGCTACAGTATAATTTCCTTCATTAATACTGCTATCGTCTGGTGGTGTTGTTTTCGGTACTGATATTGTTGGTGATGTCGTTGAAACTAAAATGGCATGTTTAATTGTTGGTGTTGTTGTAGTTAATGTTGGTAAGGTAAACATATTATCAGAAAAAGGTGCTTTTGTTGTTTGTTGTTCTAATATCGAAGACGTAAAGGTTGTTAGTGTTTGTTTATATGTTGGTTGTGTGGGTTTTAATGTAGTACGTTGAGTAAATGACGTTGGTGTCGTTCGGTGCACTGAGTGTGATGGGTATGTTGTTGGCTTAATTAATATTGTAGGTTGTTGTGTAAATGTAGATGTTGATGTAGTTGTTGCAATCGCTTCTACACTCTCGTCACTGACAATACCTGATTCATAGCTTTCATCGGTATGAGCTGATGACGGCTCAAGTATATCATTTTCTTCTGAATCTATTTTTATGGTTGTAGTTTCAATATCATTTTCAACTGAAACAGATGGTCTGGGCGGTCGGAGTGTCGGTTTAGTTGTCACAAGTGGAGGTAATGCTGTGACTGATGGTCGTACAGTTGTATGAGTTGGTGGAGGGAAAGGTGTACGATATGTTGTAAATGGCCCTCCATCTAAATCTTTTGTGTATGTTGTTGTAACGTACACATCAGGGTAATCAATAAAGAATGGTTTAATAGTTGTTGTCATACCAATTTCGTATTGAACTTTTGATGTTGTTATTTCCTCTTCTACTTCATATCCTTCTTCTGATGATGAACTAGAAGATTTATCTGATGGTGTTGAAATTGTAGTTTTAACGATTGATGGAAAAACATCAGTATGTTCACCTAACAGACTTCCCGAATCGATTGGGGTAATAGATGGTGTTGCAGTGGTTCCTGCAGATGACCAAGATGGTCGACGGGAGGACGTTAAATCGTATTTAACCGTTTTGTCTGTTGTTGGATGATATAATAAAGTAGTTTGTGATGTTTGAGTTGTTACGGGCAACCCATTATAAGATGGTTCTTTAGAAGAAGTGATTTCAGTAATTGTATCTGCTCCATTATTTTCTGATTTGTCGAATCGCGAATCCGTCGTATCTTCTTCCGACGCCCAGCTATGATCTTCAGCAGAAGTTGAAGTACTGGTGTAATCGGCTAAAAATACATTTGTTGTTATAAAATAACTAATTTGTATCTTTTTTTTTTGGATTTTATTTTCTTTTTAGGATTTGCGGAAACTATAAAGCATCAAAATTGCGGGAAAAAATGGTTGTAAATAAAGTAAATTTAATTTGCGAGGTGTGTGATAATAGCAAGTAATTTCAAATTGTTTCAGTAAAATAAAAAATATGATACATATTTATTTTTGCTCCAACATGAATGCTATGCGTATATGTAGTAAAGTTCTTAATTGAACCACTTAAATGCACTAAATCGAAAATATTAAAAATTTTTTGCTTATTAAAATAATTTTTTTGCTTGTTTTTGAAGAAACTCTCTGCAATTATTTCCATAAAGTTGTCAACAAAACAAACTTTTATTTAATGGTATACGCACTGTGGTATTTTAAATAATGCTTTCCAAATAAATTAATTAGGCACTAATAAGTTTTTGAATTTTAAGTAGATTAATTTGTAAATGGGGGGAATATTAATTTTTTTTTGTTCTATGATTTATGTAAGTTTGCTATATATAAGTATGTATATTGTATCAAATATGTTGTATGAATGCACTTTCTTATTACTGACAACCCAAAATTTTTTTCTGGATTTTGTTTTAAATTAATCGAACATTTGTTTTTGCTAGAAAAAGTGTTAAAAAACATTTGTTATACTGCAATAACGAGCTACCAAATTTTATACTGCAGCAATTTTGCTTGGTAGCTCGTTAAATGTTAAAATCATGTTGGGATTATACAAGAAAAATTCATAAAGTGTCGGATTAAAATTAAAAATGCATTGAAAAAAAATTGAGTTATTTGTTTTTTTTTTTCAAATCAAATTTGTTAAAATATTCAAGTACACATTTTATTATTATTTTTGACATTTCTGATTTGAAGCAATGAATTCGTACAGCTGTTCTTTGTAAATAACTGTTAAATTATATTTTTTTTTATATATTTTTGCATATTTTATGTGAAAAGTAATATAAAATTTACAAGTGAAAACTAAATGTGTACGTATGAATGTATTTACAAAATTGCATATTTGCGAAATGATTGCGATTTTTGTACATTTAAGCTTTACTTACTCTAGCAGCTATAAAAAATTTTTATAGAAATTTAAATAAAACAATTAATATTCCTCCTTCCACAAATAAACCAAAAGAATGTGATTTATGTATTGTGGCCGTACCTAAATTAAATATGCAAATGGAAAAAATGAGCATATTTTTTTTAATGAAAAATTTACAAGTAAAATCAAAATAATAAAACCAATATACTAGAATTATGAATGAATCTAAAATGAGTTGAAGGAGGACTCGGATTGTGTTTTCGTTTTGATTAACTGTGTTAAATATGTTTATACGTTTTAATATTGTGTAAAAAAATATGGTTGTCACCTTCACCAGAATCTACAGATGCAGCTTCCGTTGTTTCATCAACTGATTCTTCCGAATAATTAACAGGCTGTGATAAAGTTATTGTCACCGGCTTTTGCATTGGTCTGGCAGTCGTTACAATTGTAGGTGGCGGCGGTTTTGTTATACGCTCTGTTACTACTGTTGTACCCCCTGAAATGCTTGTGCTTTGCGTTGCAATTGTAGTAATTTTTACTGTAGTTGCTATTGTTGTTGGTTTAACGGAGGTAGTTGATGGCATTGTATAATTGCAATTTAAGCTATCATCATCCAACATTAAGCATTCACATAACATTCCCGTTAACATTGGAGGACATGAACATGTAAATGTATCTACACCATCAATACATACTCCTCCATTTGTACATTTGGGACCTAATTGACATTCATCATATTGGAATTCACATTTTTCGCCATGGAAATCTGGCACACAGTAACACGTTGGTACTCCTTCTTCCATTAAACAAAGAGCATTATTTTTACAAGGATTATCAGCGCATATTAATATTTCTTCTTCACAGTTTACTCCCGTATAACCCATTGGGCAGGCACACACATATGAAGCTAACTTGTCCACGCATACACCACCATTTTGACATGGCGATGATTCACATTCATTGATTTCATGTTGACAAATGCGTCCATGCCACCCGGGAGCACATTTACAATCGAATTCTAAACCGGGTCCTTCAATGCATTCACCACCATTGTGACATCTAGCGCCTGTACCTATATATAATAATTTCATTATTGTTTTTCAAAATTTTTGCAGTCAAATTTTCAAACATAATATGTATATATGCATATAATTTATGAATGTGTCTATAAACATATAATTTTATTTAAATATTAAAAATTAAATGATTTTTTAAGAACTAAAAACTTACCTGTATCACAAACAGCTACATCAACTTCACAATGTGTCCCTAAGTAACCAGGTTGGCAAGTACAAGTATATCCGTTGTTACGATCTTTACAAGTGCCTCCATTTTGACAAGGATTAGATAAACATTCATCGACATTTTCTTGACAATTGGCCCCTATTAAATATGAGAAATTGTGTACATAAATGATGAATAACAGTATATTAAAATTTTGGAATTATAAGAAAACGTAATAATGACCCGATCCCCTCTATCATCAACAATCAAAATTATTTAGAATAGTAGCAATTAAAATAATATTGTATAATATTCAAGTTGATATTAGATCGCAGTTTTAAAAAATTTGCCTGCTGAAGCATAACATATATGAATAAGGTTCATAACAAATTATGCAATTCTTTTATTACATATATACGAGTATATAAATATTATTTATGGTCTTACTGAATTTTCTTCCTGGAAAAATTTTTTATTCAGTTATATAATTTTGATGCTTTTTATATTGCAATTAAAATCAGAATTGAAAGTTATATTTTAAAATTCATAAATTTTTATACATGTAATAAATTGCTCTATTCGTTTTTTTTTTCATATTTTATTGTCGCATTGTGCGTCATGTATGCATTTATTATTAATTTTAATATTATGCATACATGATATTATCATGTATGTATATACGAGTAATATTACCATTTAAAGAAATAAATCCACATTGAAAATATTGGGGTGGCTTTATATACATATAAAGCGTATATATACATAATATTTTGATTATTTACGGACAAAATAATATTATATAGAAAAATTATAGTTTTAAAAAATTACTTCACATATGAATAAATTTTTATTTTTTAAAAATTCAATTAACTTACCAGAAAATCCTTCAGGACATGTGCAATTATAATATGCAACACCATCAATACAGGTTCCACCATTTATGCATGGTGATGACCAACATTCATCCCAATTCGTTTGGCACTGTACACCAGTATACCCATCTATACAATAACATGAATATGAACTGTATGCATATTTTGTATAGAAGTTTTTGTATAAAGCACAAAAAGTATTTTAGAAAAAAAAAAATGTGTAAATAACGCGCAGAATATACGAAATAAATTTTATTTTATTTATTTAATATTAATTTTCAATGAAATGACGACAAAAATAAAATGTAATAATAATAATCCGGTTGTAAATTATTCGATATTCCATTTCAATATTATGTAAAAATAAAAGTTAGAAAATTAAAATATTACCAATAATAAAAAAAAATATTTTAAAAATTTTTTTACATTTTAAGATAACAAAATTTTTTGAAATTTATGGGAAAATTCCAATGTTTTACAAGTTTTTTTTTTTTTAAATAATTTAGATAACGAAAAATGAATAAAATAAATAAAAAAAGGAAAAAGTTTAGGTTGTTGATGTTTTGATGTTTTTTCGTAGCGTTGCGTAGATTATTGTGAATTGCGATTGTTTTTATTGTTTCCCAATATTGTTGCAATTGTTACCATTAAATTAAATTCAAAAAAATCATGTTTCGTTGAAATTGGAAATATTTTTGTTTTTTGATCCGATATTACAATGTATGTATGTAGATTGTAATCATATTTTGACATCATACCATGTAATAAGCATATAATTCCAGAAAAAAAAGAACGAAGAATAAAAAATAAAAATAACATTATTTTTCATTTCAAATTTTCTATATATTTTTATATTACATTTGAGAATATATTAAATTAAAAATAATTAATTGAATTTGGGGACGGATGTTGTGTAATAAAAAAAAAAAGAATTTATACAATTTATGATAAACAAATTAAAAAGGAAATTCGATTGAATTTATGTGTCAAATAAAAATTAAAAATATGGTAATACTTTATAATCTTAATGTCGAATTTATAAATTATATATGTGTATGTAGGTATGGTAAACCTACGGATGTTTTTATGTATACGTGTATGCTAATTTTATTGTTTTTGATATTGACATTATTTATTACAATGATAAAAGAACTGCATGTTCACAAAATTACTAATGCGTGTAATATAAAAATTTAAAAATATTTTCATATCACTAAAATTACATTGGCAAAACACACAAAACATTGTGAAAATATTAGAAAAATTTTCTTTTATTATTGAGGAACAAATCTTGACATGTTGTGGTCAGTCTCTCTCTCTTCTAAAAATATGGTTATTAACTGATTTCTCTCGCAGTATGAAGATTTTGAGATTTACTTTAAATACGATACTTGAAAGTAATTAACACCTGGATTGGGGTAAGTATAGGCAGGCCCTATGGATTTGTACGAATTTTCGTGTAATTATAAGAGGTTTGTGTCTTAAATATTTTAAGCAATGGCTGTGTACAATGATCGGTAAATCCGGGTTCGTTCCTTTGATTGAGTATGCATCAAAGGTAAAGTGGAAGTAGACATACAAAATTGCAGAAAATCATATTTATGTATTATGAGATTTCCTCGGTGTGCTCTTGATTAAATATAGAATAAAATTTTAAACTTTCACCTTCACTTATCGATCACCTTGAATTATCGAAAAATGTATTATTAGTAAAAATTTAGAGCATTTTGAGCAACAGATCTCTTTAAACTATATAGGAACTAGCTATATCTCTAGCAGTTCACTAGGAGAGAACTGCTCTAGATCACAATAAATTTATATGGTGATTGTGACTTGTTGTAACATCGAACTTTATACTGCTCTGAAAATTTCATCTACACCATATGTGGCGATTTTAGGTTATGAAAAATTGTTTAGAAAGGTTTCTTCTAACTCGAAAATTACGATTGTGAAATTTGATAGAAGATAAAAATTAAGTGCCATTGAAATTCTTTTTGCGTGTATCAGGAACATACCAATGAATGTTGGAAAAATTCTTATTATTAAGATTTCGTCTTTTTTGGTAAAAACCTTTTTCCAATTTTTTATATAATGAATATTTTATTTGAGCTTAGAGCATAATGTTTTATGTGTTTGATGTATTGTTTTATGAACTTTTGATTTCAAAATACGTGTATCAATTAGAACTCACCTATTTAATCCATCGATGCAAACACCAAATATGCATGGGTTACTAAGGCAAGCAAAGCCAGCATTACCACTTTGCAGCAGTGACAATAATAGTAAAAAACCAAATAACCATGATTTATGTAAATATATTGTTTTCGAAAAGAAGTTGTCACCGTTGACAGATTTTATTACGGATGTCCTAATTGTACTATTTTTCGTTGTTGTTTCTTTTGTTATTATATTAACAACTGCTGCTGATTTCAGTTTATTTCGGGTATTATTATTAGGCAAGGATAATTTCATTCTTTTATTTTCATTATTTTCGAAATTTTTTTGTTTTAATAATGCAACTTTTTGGTGTTTATCATAAACTTGATGTAAATTTTGCTGTTCCTTTTCTTCACAATTATCTGATAGTTTGCATTCTGGCACTTTAATAAACTTAATAGGTTTTAAATTGGTGAGATTGTGATGGTATCGTCGTCGATAATCATATTCAAATTCTTCTTGATTCTGTACAATTCGAGTATCTAATTTAGAAAAATTTGTATAATTTTCTTGTTGTTGTTTTTCCCATTGTATTTTCAATTGATTCATTTTATATATTATTTTTGGTGATACAATTAAGATCAAAAATGAACTAGTATAAAAAACAAATCGGTTATTGATCCTAAATAAAATATTTTGTTGAATATTAAAGAAGCTCTCATGTGTTAATTTTAGGTGAGTTTGATTATTTTCTTTTGTTACTGTATTTGATATTGTACTATTGCATTTACTACAATTGATATCGGTAACTGTTGCTTTTATTGCTATCGTGTAAGTGCCTAAAGAGTGTATTATAGATACGATTTCAAAATGTTTGTTTATAAAGCACGCTCTTTTAATTTCTATAAAATTTCGAAGAATGATTTGTTGAACATCAAATCCTTTTAAAAACTTAGTATCAATTGTTATTTTTTGAACATTTGCAACTGTAGACATTTCTGCTCAAACTATTTTCAATTTTTATTTTTTCTTTTTTGTTCCTTTTTAATTCTATTTGTATGTACGTTGCTTCACACTTCACTTTATTTTATAGCAATTAAACGAGTATGCATTCCACTAGGATAATTAGCGATAAAAAATTCATTTTTCTTATTCGCTATAAAATTAATTAAACAGCGAATTTCACAATTTCATAGCAAAAAAAAAAATATAATTTTATTTGAGATCATGTGGGTGTGTGTTTATTTTAATTTTTAAAAATAAAATCCTCCTTTTTTCTGCGAGAAGAAGGTATCGTCAGTTCATAACAAACTTTTAATTTAAAAGTATTTCTCTTTTGTACATTTATATAGAAAAACTAAGGCAAAATAAACAGAAGTACTTTATTATTCAATCCTTAAAATGGATTTTTTCTTTTATTAACGATATTTTTATTATAAATCTTTCCAAATTTTATCTGTATATAATAAAGTTGAGTTTTGGAAATGTTTTAGTCTTTTTTTAAAAAAAATTTAAGTTTTATTTTCTTCTTTATAGGTGGCGTTGACTAATCTAAAGTATTTTTTAACCTAAATTCTAGAAAACCATTTGTATTCAATTTTCTTTATGGTTGTTTCTCTTTTTTTTCCACAATTCTGTTTGTTTTTTATTTTTTTAATTGAATGAAAAATAAAGCCGTGAGTGGGCAAGTTTTAAGGCTTAACAATCACAATATTTTAAAGTGTATTTTCCTGGAAAACGCATATGTTTTTTATTATAAATACATTCACATATACATTTATATAGGATCGAGACTTCCTTATAGAAAAATAATTAAAAACCAGTTTGATAAAATCCCATATTTCCTTGTCTAAAATGAAATGAGGCAAAAAAAAATTAAAAAAAAATTATTTTATTAGTATAAACTTGTATTAAAAGTATAGATAAAGGAAATTTAAGCTTATATTTAAAAAAAAATAATGTGTAACGGCGGAGCTTACAAGTTTTCAATAAAGTTTGTCATTGGTAACTTGCCGGTCAAAATATCACTCTTTATTAAAAATTTTACACTTCTCAATAGAAAACCTATATTCAATTTTAATAATCACCAAATAAAATTGTTAGAAAAGCAAGCAAGCAAGTTAAATTAAATTTGACTTTTCCACATTTTAGTGTGAAGTTCTTCGGGCAAGTTCCTACGTACTTAAACGAAGCGAAAAAGGCAAATGCAAACCTAATATCATCCTGTTGAATTTATTAATTTTTTTTTTATTCAACTTAGGCTTAACTAACGTCCACCTACTATTTAGTTATTTATAATTTTCGCAAGTTTAATTTTACAGCTTTCGGAGACCGTATACTGATTCGGCTGAATAGTATACAAAAATTTATATCTTTTAAAGCTTTACATAATATATTACATTACTTTTGCTTCTAAGAAGCCAAAACGAAGTTTTCGAGATGACCATTTTTGATTCACAAAGCTCCAATGTCAAGTTGTTTAGGGGAATAGTAAAAAGGAGAAAATATGGCTAATATTTTGCCAAAAAAACTAAATTTTTCCTTTGAACTGAGGCCGTTCGGCCTTTCTCAACTACACCCAAAAATTTTTTTTTTGATTTTCGGTCAATATACATGAGTGATATTTTCAAACTCCGGACAAGTTTTAGTATTATGTTGGCGTGGAGCTTTGAGACCTTGAAAAAGGCCACAAAACTTCCTTTGAAGCAATCAAGTCCAAAGCGGGCTACCGCCCTATATTCCCACAGTAGCCGGCCTGCCCTCTCATCCTCCTCTATAGACAAATACAGTACAACCAACTGTTAGAGATTAATATATCAATGTGCTTGGAACAACATAGGCATGAAATTTTGCAAGTACTGAACTTGTACTTTAATCTTAAAGATTAAGTTTAAATTCAAATTATTTTATTTTTAATTTTGTAAAGAAAAATGGAATAATCCTTACATATTAAACTATGTACCCATACATATATACAAAAATTAATTATGTATTCTGAATATGTTTATATGGTTGGCCATTTAAATAAATAGATAGTAAAAAATTTTAAATAAGTTTATTTAGAAAAGATAAATAAACAATTTCTCATTTTTAAGTGCTTATTATACGTATAAAAAAATATTATAATATTTTTTTCTATAGAAAATTTTAATTAGGTGGAAGCACTACTTATTTTTTATGTACATATACATACATACATATTTGTACATACATAATTGTTTTTCTTTTGTTTGATTTCTAAAAATAAAAAGAAGAAGAAGAAGAAGAAGAACAAAGCTTATATAGAAGGAAAATGAAACAAAGTACAGGATTTTAGCTAAGGCTTGAATTTTATATTTTATTGTCTTAAAATTCACCATTTTTCATTTTGTTTACTATTAACATATTTAGATTTCTATAGAAATTGCATAATGATATGTCCCAAATATTTTATGTGATTCTCGATTCATAATTTATGCTATTTAGTACATACATATATAAAAATTTTTCCTTCTCTTTTTAACTGTAATTTTTCTCGTTAATTTAGAAAGTTATGCGTAAATATATATACTGTATGTGTGTGTAACTATATGTAATCTACAATCTACAAAACTATATGTAATAAATTCTTGTATGTATATATGTATGTATGTATAAATATTTTTTTCCCAATACCGTCGAGATAATTTATTTAATATATGACGATGAATATTAATTTATATAAATGGATATAAATAAATATATTTTAGCAATTGTTATGAACTCTAAATCAACGTGTATGTATAACATACTACCCATACTACATAAATTTTACTTAAATTTATGTGCCGTAGATAAAATATGCATGTATATTTAGATATATACATATGTATATCAAATTGTCGACGACTGTAGACAGCAAGTTGTTGTCAACAATTTTATTCTGATATGGTCAATATTTAGTTATGTGTCTTAAAATATTTAAGTATTTTTTTGAAACTAAGTATGTATTATTTTATTGGTTTGATATTTGCTAAAATTTTTAAAAATTTTAAATAAAAAAATATATGTACATTGAATGCCGGATGATCGATATATGTATGTAATTAAAAGATGTCACGTAACCACAAAAGAAAACGATATAGAGTTGTCAAACAGCATGATATTGTTAGGTTGATATTAAGTTCAAAACGTGAAATGTAATTAATTCTTTATTTTGAATTATTTAATAATTTGGTAATATTTTCCGGGCGTCGGTCACCTCATATTTAGATGACAAATAAAACTTAGTCAATTTGAGGTTAGTAAATGGTAACTATTACAATTCTCGCGTGAAGTGTCAAAATCAAAAATACGAAAATCCAAACAGTAAAAAATTACACAAAATAATATATTTAACAGGACATATTTGCTTTCAATGTAGGTAAGTATGTGCAGATTTGGTGTAAATATGCGTTTGTGTGATGAAATGTTACAAATACTTAAAATTTCAAAAAATATTAGAAACTTAAAAATTTTCTTGATTTTCGAAAAAAAAAACAAATTCGACTTCTTTGTTTTAGTTTTTCCATATTTACATCTTAGAAGGTTGAAAGAAGTTTACCAAATAAATTTCTCAGAGTTTATGTTGTCGATACCTGGAATATGTAAGGTAAATATATAAATTTAACCACAAGAAAACATTTGATAGCAACTTGTAACGGTATGTATCATTTGGAAATAAACTTATGTATTTATATTATGTACATAAACATACATATATGTATGTATATATATATGCACTTTAATGCCAATTTCAAAATAAAATTTTGTTTGGATGAACACAATGCGTGATTTCTAAAAATAAAAACAACAAAATCTTTTTATTTTTCTTCTCATAACAATTTTTAGTAGTTTCCCGTTATAATAATATAATTTTTTTTATTTTATTTTTTTTTTTTGGTTTTGTTTACAAATACAAACATCATGTACAGAATAAGTGAAAATCAGGACGCAGGTAATACTAAGCTTTAATAATAAAGGAAAAATAATTATTTTGATTGAGGCACAACTTTGGGATATTAAGAATTAAGAGACTAAATCAAAATAGATATTATTCAACTGAGGAACTTTCCATGTTATAAAAATCATAAAGGAACATTATTGAACACAATAAAAGAGGCCTTGGTATCGTACCAAATATACATGTTAAAATTTTTACAAGAACGTACTCTTCCGTGATGGACAACGAAAAACTGCTCTAAACAAGGGACCACTCAATCTTTGGATCTGTTTGTTTGGATATGAATTGATTTTCGTGAAAATTTACATACAAAGGTATGATTTATTTCTTAAAAATTTTAGTTTTTGGGTTTTATTGCATTATAATTCAACATTTTTTACTATATTTTCTATAGAGGAATTATTCATAGATTGACAAATCATCTTGCATTGGAGGTTTATATTACTTAGAAATTTACATATTGAAGAATAAGAAGCTGCAAGCAGAATTTATTGAAAACTGGAAGTATGTGAAATTTTAAATTAGTCACAATTTCTTGTAGACTTTTCATTGAAAATCACAGATTTCGATGTAAGAATTTGAAAATATTAAATATATTTAGCGGTCGATTATGTACTGACCTCATCAAAATTTTATTATTTATATATATATATATATACACATATATTTCTTTATTCTCACATTCTACCTTTATATTTCTTTTTTATCTATAATGTTACAGATTAAGTGAGAAATTTATAATACTATAAAAAGTAAAATCTATTTTGGAAAATGAAAAATTGAGCTTCACGTCATAAAAAATATAAATATGAACAACAAAAATGGAGAAAAAAAAAATTAAAATTCAATTGTCAGGCGATGCGATTTTGATAGTATTATTTACGTTACTAACGTTGCTATAGAAAGTTAATTTTTATCGCGTACAGGTATAATATACATACATATATACATTATGTACATATAATAAGAATTTTCCTCTTTCCTTCAACAATTCAACAATTCATATACATATTAGGTATTTAGGCACATAAGCACACACAGATTGTAGATTTTTTTTACATTTTCAAGAAAATAATACTTTTTATGACCGTATATAATTTTCATATATGTATAATATAAGAAATTTTCCTCTTTATTTCAATAAAGAGGATGTAGGATGAATAAGCTTTCAAATTTTATCTTCTGGAGGTGTTGACTGAAAATAACATCCTTCATGTGCAATACTAAACATATGCTCATACATAGTTTATATGAATGTATATACGAAAATTGACTTTATAAATTAAAAAATAATCAGATTAATTAACTTCTACACAAAATCATACTAAAACATTAAATATTTTAGAATTAATCAATGCCCAATGCAAGGATTTAGCATGTTATTTCAATTTAATTCCCATTTGTTAACTTTTATATTTCGATTCAATTATTAGACCCCATATTAAAAAATTAATTGAATTATAAAACAATAATTTTAATTTTATTCAAAAAGAAAATCAAATTATGAAATAATTTATATTGCCTGAGGAATAAACTTAAATTTCAATTTAATTTTTGTAAAATTTGATGTATCGGAGATTGTGTGAGAGTTTTTCAAATTTGACGCGAATTATACAAAAATGTAAACAAGAAAATAAATTAAAATTCAAATTCCGTGAAAAAACAAATCAAAATATAAATAAATATTTTGATGACAAAATTCTTAAATAATGATGCCGCAGGATGTATGGAAAAGCTTATATAAGGTTTAAGAATGTTATTATCCGAAATTTTTAAATAAATTGAGATTAACCGCACGTAAATTTTAAATATCCACCTACAGCTGTTTTTATATTTTTGACAATAATGATACCTTTTTTTTTTTATTATGTAAAATTTTCATTTGGAAT